GTAATTTCAGGTATACAAAAGCCGTGTTTGCTCAGCAGCTGGAAGTTTACTCACGCTCGGTTTTTCTGTAGTCCGCCGAAGAGCTTTGAGTTTCAACAATGATCTGAATAAAATTCTATTTAATCTTCATTTTACTTGCTTTGGGAAAAGTTATAATTTGCCGGGGAGTCCTTTTTAGTAGTTTAAAAGATAATACACATATGTATCATATCTCCTAGTCAACTGTAGCCTGTTCTAGGCGTTCAGATGGACGGGACGTCGAAAGACGAAGTGACAAGTGATTTGAACGCCTCAGGCCAAGTCAACCACCTGGAATTCATAGCTTTAACAGGCAATATAAGTGGAAGGAAGTGAAAAGTGATTTTGCATTTTTTTTTTATTTTTAGAAAATATTTACTCAGTTTATTAAACCCCTAGTATAGAATTAAAATGGAAAAAATTTTGGCCATTTTCGTGTGTTCAGACAAAGACAGTGGTAAACTGAGGTTGAGCGAAACGTGAGCAACCTGTTACAATTAGTTTTTAATGAAAAGAATTAATAAATGGACTTTTTTTCTCCTGCGTCGGTTGATGATTGTTGTTAAAACAATTTCTCGTTATTTTGCACAAAAATGTCAGACTGGACTTGATTTTGGCCATGTATTGTAGAGTTTTCTATAGTATGCGGTGCCGGAATAGTTTTGGCCGAATAAGTCAGTATTTATACTGGTATACAATGAACAGCAAAAAAAGAACGAAATAAATACCTCCTATTTGCATAAACAGGCGTTTTTGTCTCAGTTGTAAATTATGTAATGTGTAAGAAAAGGAAAATCTTTTCAGAGTGTTAGTCCGAAATTTCTGCGAAGCTGCTCGCCTAATCGCAGTCAGGAAGCAAAAGAAAGTGCATGGCTTGTACGCATTGAACCAGGCTTGTATAGAGAATTTTCCTTTTTCTCGTAAGCGCCAAAAGTCGACTCCAACGTAAACTGTCCAAGTACGAACTGCCTCATTTGTTTCGGATTATCTGGCCGCCGGTGCGAGTGGCTCTGTAAAAGAGGAATATTTCAAAATTGACAGAGTACACGATCAATCTTGCTTACACTTCATGAAGAGTTCATAAATTACTTCAGAGCACCAGGAAGCTATTTTATGTCGGTTTCACGTTTCAAGACTTCACATTATTTTCGATTCCTCAGACAGAGGCGTGCTTTCGTTGCACAGCTGCACGAATATTATTTTCAGTAAAGAAACAAGCTTCCCTTCAGTCCTACTCTGTTCTCGACAGAAAGCGCATTCTTCAACACTCCAGCCTTTGGGCCATTTATATCTTGTTTCTCCAAAACTAGTATATGTATGGCTGACGTGCAGCGATCAGACTTGAACACGGTGAAAAACCCGAGAGGGTAATCTTCACTGTAAGAAAGCCTTAAAATGGCTCTTTTGCCTGGAGTGTTGAAGAATGTGTTTTCCTTCAGACGTGACAAGAACAGCGATATATTTTACTTCCGGGTGAAAACCGAGAAGGAGAGGTTCTTTGATCTGAGCAAAGGAAGCAAAAAGTGCTCACGAGTTTGAGGAAGCAAATATAAAGTGGAACTCTTGAAGGCGTGAAAGCCACGTAAAATTAGCCTGCGATCATGCCCTCCCTATGTCTCTACGTTAACACGAAATAACTTCCTGTTGCTCTGAAATAATTAAAAGCCCGAACTCTTGTCAAAGTCTAAGCGAAACTGATAGTGTATTCTGACAATTTCGAAATATTCCTCTTTTATAGAGTAACCTGCACCATAGCCCGCCAGAAATAATTTTAGTCGAAACAAGTTAAACAACTTGTACTTGGTCATTCTACGTTAGAGTTGACTTTTGGCGCTGACGCGAAACAAGGAAACTTCTCTATAATCCCGGTTCAATGACTTATGTGAAAGCAATGCACTTTTTTACTTCAGTTTCGAATGAGTGACCAGCTTCGAGCAAAGACCATCCCCGATTTCTTTTTTTAAGCCGGGCTCACACTCCGAAACGATTTTCTGTTGATTACACTCAACACAATTTCCAACTACGAAAAGTCTGTGTAAGCAAATCTGAGGTTTTTTTTTCTCTATTTTTTTTCAGTTTTCGCATTTTTCAACACTGCAGACATCAGGCGGACCGTTCGCATCTGACTTCGCCAAAACGACTTTTCAAAGTTACATGTAAAACGTGAATAAGCGAGCAGACGCGTTTGAATATTTGAACTGTGAAAAACGAGGGTAATCTCCGCGTTGCGTTTTGCAGCATCATGTTAACACGATGGAACATAGAGCCTCTTTGTGGGTATTTTCCGACAAAATCGAAGTCGCGACGACCGGTATTGATGAAACGGTGATCTTAGAGATTTAATATAGCGCACTTTATGGCGACTTACCTAAGCTTTGATTTTTAACCTGAATGTGAAAAAGTTAACAGCTTTGAAACGCCGATATAACGCTTGTTCTGCAAGCTACAGATCTTCAAACCCACAGCTAACTAGAAAACTGGTACCAGAATATATAGACAAAAATAGCGTTAAATTATTCACTGGACGCGATTGAGCTTCATCAAATTTCTCAAAACAATGTCTATCCCGTGTCAGATCGCTTTAAAAATGAAAAAGGTTATGAGACAAAGATCGTCATAAAACAGAAGTTCTGATAAACATATGCATGTTGCAGATAAATAAACACTTTACAAAGTGTTGGTTTAGATCGAGAGGAAGCTGTACGGCGTAGTAAAATATAGATGGAGAAATGACTTCCGCTGAACACGCGTGCACGACGACAAATTTTCCTTTCTCTTTTGGAACTTGGACGTTGTCCCTAACAATTCAACTCGATGAAAATTCGCCAACAGTTGACAAAGTGAACGAAGTTAAAGTCTGAAATTTCCGGACGTAGTGACGTTTCCACTGCGGTCCTCGCCGTAGTGGCCAATTTCTAAGTCGCGATCGGGGTCAATAATAAGAGCGACTTCTTCTTTGATAACCTTTGAAAATATCGAAGCGACTCTGCTAGCAGGGTACAACAACAGCCTGGCGAAGCGAGTTTACATGCGGCTCACCTTGAAAAGATTTGATTAAACAACTTTTAGAATGACAGCTGAATTCGCTAGCTTAAGTCTTCAGTTTCCTTTTTTACGGATAAACGACAGATGAACTTGATTGTCGTTCAATTTGAAGTGGGAGAGTGATGCTAGAAAATATTTTATTAAGGCCTTTAAAAGTTTAAGCAATTTTTAAACTATCAATAACAGCTAATTTCGCTAGCTGTAGTTTTCAGTTCCTATTCGTGCAAATTAATTTTTGTAAAAAAAAAAAAGCTGCAGCTTTACGTACCGCCCATATTAACTGTATAGTTATACGGCTTCCACGCAACAACGATTAATTATTCCTTTAGCCGTACAGACAGAATGATATATTTGTAGCCGGCGGGACACAGGGCAAAGAGAACAATTGCTAACTGTGTATAGTAATTTCCAATTTACGTTACGAGTAAAACGAGAGACATCAACTGCTCTTGGAGTAAAGTACACTTTACGTATGTGTATAATGACACTGAGCAGCTGCACAAAGAAACCCTGGCCTTGTAGGTTTAACTCACTTATTCTGTGAGAGCTTTAGACACACTCTGTTTTTTTAAATTGAAAATGCGCTTCAATGAAACTTGTTCGTAGTGAACTAGGTGATGAAGCTAATCTAGGGGCTCTCGCTATGGTAAATTACCACCTGCTCCTATCTCGGTCCTTTGTTTGACAATCGTTTAATTTTTATCGCTTTCTAGCTAGGGACAACGTTAAAACGCATACGGAATTCATTTTTTCGGAAACTTAAATCAGCAGTATAAACTCATCATACAGTCAAATCGATGTGGCTAACATAACTTTTGTCAAGATCAAAGACCAGAATACAGTGACCAAGAATCCTGATTTCTCGAACGATCGGTTTGTCCGGCGAAACTCTTGGTAACTCGAATGAAAACTGACCTCCAGTGTGTTTTTTAATTGATATCGCCAAAATATTATTTTTTAAAAATGATAATACAGGAGTGCTCAGTGGAGCCGATATTCAAAAAAGCCGTTCCTCAGGCATTGTGATGCTGGCTGGGAAGATCATCTTAGATTTGGCTGGTTAAGGATAATTTTGGCGATTTTTTTACCCAAATTAAAACAAACGCCCACTTCTAACATTTTCAAATTAGGGTCCTTAGTTTTCTGGTCTTAATTTTCTTTTTTTGCGAAAACAAAGTCTAACATTTCGAAGCGACAGATAGATATAAATCCCCAAAATATTGTGCGTAGCTCACTGGTCCCAGGGCACTTGGTTTGGATTAAATGTCGGGGGTGCAAATATATGACCACAAGTAAGGGGATAAATCCAGTACCTGATTTTAAAGACAAACATTTTATGCTCTGTTGATCCTTTAAAAAACAGGAGCTGGTAATTGGCTCCTTTGAAGAAAGTTTTAAAACGGAACTTGACATTTTCAAGCCTCTTCGGAAAAAAAAAAAAACAAGGAGAAAAGCCGCTCTCGGGTCTTCGTTTTCATATCAAAAACACTGGTTATCAAGAAAATAAGAGGGTCTTCGTTTTCCAGGGGGTTTAGGTTTCGCTGTGCACAATCGTCCGTATGGTGGCTGTTTAGATAATAGTTTAAGTGTTTAAAGCGTCCACCTGTACGATAGCCTGACGACGGACAGGCACATTCATAAGCGTGTTGCTGGGTGATCGTTAGAATAAAATTGATTTTTTTCAATCATATTTGTGTAGAGTCTCCATATGTATTTTGGATCTATTCACTATATTAGTTTGCACAATAGTGTGTGAAATTTAGGGTGCAATGCTGGTTACTTTTTTTAAAATAGAAAACGAATTGATGATTATGAGATAGCGTGACATTCTATTGTCTTTTTGTATTGATTGATAAGTGATTTGACGTACCAGCCAATCAGGAAGCGAGTAGTTAATAAAACGTAAAAACAAGCTCCATTTCGCTTGGATTTCTTGTAGCGAACGTAAGGAGCAGTTGCTCTTCATTTGGGAGTGTTGTGTCGGTCCAGTTCACAGTTGGTCAATTTTTCAGCGCTTAACTCCGAGTAATTCTTCTCACACAACAAACATGATATCTTCTTTGAACGCTGTGATTACAGTTTTATTGGTATGTGTTTATAAGATGTCTTTGTCGACTTCCTCATCAGCGGAAGTTATTAACCACGAATACTGTGTTGTTGGTGCTGGGCCTGGAGGTACGTTCCTGTAAATTGATGAATTTTCATACTTCAGTATATCAAAGAGACATTTCCTTTACGTCTCTAATATGCTGAATAAATCTGACTTATCAATAAGTCTTATCTACATTATACCCCCATGCTCTTGCTAACACTAATTTTTTCACTCGTTCTGGTTCAGGACTTCAAATTGGTTTTTACCTCGAGCGCGCTGGGAGAGATTATGTTATCTTCGAGCGAGATGGATTAGCAGGTGAGAATTTTTAAACTTTTTACGCCTTTTTTGTTATTCCTTTCCCTTCTCCGCTATTGGACACGCTTCAGCGTCTCGTTTCTACGGTGAGCTACCGTAGCTCGTGTAGAGAACAATATAAATTTCGGAAATTTTCACCTGCCATTGCCTCGATCAAAGTGTCGATTGCAATTATATGGGCATTATTTAACACAAGGGAATTCGCTTAAGACTCGTCAGGTAGAAATAGAGAACGTTTTAAGTTGCAATTTGCGTTTAAAGGTGATGCGTTAAAAATCGTCGTTGCGAATCGTCTCGTGTAACGTCACCTTATGAGTTTGATAATGTCGTATTTAGTTGAAATAAGCGATATAATCGCAGAATCAATTTGGTTTCAATTTCGATTCTTAAGTTGAGAAGTGGTGCAGCTGTTGTATGAAATAAGATTACATAATTTTGTTGTTTCGGCGTAATTTGGAGCAATTCATGTTTTAGCGCAAATCGTCACACAAATTCATTACTGTTCGTGCAATCTGACGACTAATTTAGCGTCTTGTCTTCCGTTACATCAAATCAAGATTTCTGCATTGGCTCGTATAACCTTTAACCCACTACAATGAAGTGCGTCTAAAAGTGAAATACCGTGTCTAATTTCGTGGTTATCTTGTATTTGAATGTTCGATCTTTTTATCGCCTTCCTTACATAACAATATTAATCTCTCCGCGCATATACTTGACTTAATTGTTCGAAAATAGACTTTTGATTTAAGATAAAAAGTTTCAATGATTCATGAATGTTTGAAGTTGCGGTAATTTTTCAAAGAGATGTTTTGAAGAAAAAAATTAAATAGGAGAGCGTAGCAGTAAACGAGAACTTATGTAAATACAGGTCTTCTGCTTTGCATAATAATATTAATGTTCATTTAGATGTTAATTAAAGTGGTAGAAAGAACTTTTTCACACCCGTATGTTTCTTCGATGTACCTCATGTTGTTTCCTCTGAACTCTTGGCTGAAAGGCCATACGAAAAAGCTATTATTATGTAGAAAAATATTTGATCTTCCTTGTTACCACTTTTAAATGAGCATCTACAAAATTGTATTTATTTCAGACGGTCGTAAGAAAGGTCGTCGATCAGTTTGGTTACTTTGAGATTCTGTTTATTCAGAGTCAATACATGTACACGTAGGGTCAGAAGTTAAAAATAATAAACTTTTTCTCTAAACAGTAGGTCTATACAGATAAATATTTGGTTTAGGTTTTTTATTATATTCATTTTTACGCAGTGATATTAGCTGTGCAAACCTAATTATCACGATTTTCCACATCATGGCAGCGATTGTTAAATAACTTTAGTGAAAAGCCCACATCAATCATCATTGATCTCACTCTTCTCGGACAAAATTTAAGGGCCTCACCTGCCCTAGAATCGCTTCTTTGAATTAGTTATTAATCTGTCAAACATATGTCTGTGAAATGTTTCTTCACGCCTCTAAATTTTCCTGGGAAAAATTATAGATATTCAAGCACATGGAAAATCTGAGACAAGCATCTTATTGAGCAAATTCTGGTATGGTTATGTCCTTAGAATTTGTTAGCGGAATCTCAATTAAAACTGTAGATCGCGTGTTACATAACAAGAAGTGAAGAACAAGAATTTATTCCAAGAGGATCTCCCTGGGGGCTAAGAGACTAAAATGGAAGTTGACTTCCTTTATGTGGGAAATAATGGAACAATAACTTAAGGGAAACAGGGGAACAATGATTTTCTAGGTTAGAGAACATTCTTTCTGGGTCACAGGCTATATTTTTCATCAACATCTATTTACACACCGTCTCAGGTCCAGTAATAGGCTCTTTGCATGGCTGTGGTCACCTGAAGGCGTGATCAACTTTTAGTAAACACGAAAACGGTTCACTTCTGAAAAATTTTGTTAGCACAAGCTGAAAGAGCATAATGTAAAATTCCGAAAATAAGCCCCTCCAAATATGAGCCGTAATGCAAAAAAGTCCCTCCGTTAAATCGCCCCTCCGAATATAAGCCCTCCTAGGGGTTTGTACTGGGAATTTGCCCTCGAATCCAAAAATGCAAAATGACAAATTTCCGTCCCACTACAAGCTAGCCCAATTGCTTTTGAAATGCAAATTTCCCTCCGCACATAAGCCCCTCCAAAAATATAAATCCCCTCAAAAAGGGCCTTTGAAAAATGTAAGCCCCCGGGGGCTTATTTTTACAATTTTATGGTATTTAAAATTCGGTAAGTCATAAGAATTTTCAGCCGTATATCTCAAATTTTAAAGTAGCGATTGCAATGGCCGCTGAAAGTTAGAGGCATTTGTATGACAAAAAAAACTTTTGCCACCCAGTTACACTTGCATGGTTTTCCATACAAATCCTTTAATTTTTGAACTGTCATTTAACCTTTCTCTTACGCATTTAAGGGCTCAAATTGTCTGTTATGAATTAAAAGTAGATTTGAGCCCTTTAATGCTTAAGGAAATATTTCATAACAGTTTTGAAAATTTCGAAACTACAAGGATTTGTATGGAAAACCATGCAAGCGTCACTGGATGGCAAAAGTTTTTTTTCTCATACAAATGCTTCCAGCTTTGGACGGTGGCTGTTGCAATCAAGTCTACTTTTAAGATATACAGCTGAAAATTGTTAGGTTACCTATTTGTTATATTGCTCTTTCAGTTTTTGCTAACAAAATTTTTCAAAAGTGAACTGTTTTCGTGTTTACCGAAAGTTGATCACGTGATAAAGTCATGCAAAGAGCCTATTGCCCTCTTCCAAGTGGCCAATGTACTGACAATTATCAAAATGATCACCAAAGTATAATTATTATAAAATAATTTAAGCAAAGCATGATCCATGGCTTAATGGTGATATTCCAGACAGGTTCAGCCATCTCCCCAAAATAGGTATAATCTTGTTGAGAAAACACTTTCCTGGACGGAAAATTGAAAAATTTCTGTACAATCCAAGGTAACTATCTAAATTAATTTATTTACGAATACTCTTTTTAATAATTATTTTTCAGGTGCATTCTATGTCAAGTATCCAAGACACAGAAAGTTAATATCAATCAATAAAAGGCATACAGGTGGAGTTTGAGACCATTCTAAGTATTTTGATTTCTCACAACCATGGTATAATTTGAAGGGCGTCATGCAAAAACTACCCCCTAGTCCACTGATTTTTTGTTTGGGTTGTCTTTTTGCCTGCAGAGCCCTTCAATTGATTTTCATCAAAAAAACTGGAAAAGAGACATGATTTTATGTGATGGCATTTTAAATTAAAGCTTTATTATGATTTTATTAAGAGTAAATTAAAGTTTTTAATATTTTATGTATGCATTTAGATGAGCCTTTTTATGTTTAAATTATTAGCCGGCAAGATAGGGAAATACATTAGAGCATTATATGTTCATACAAAGGGAAACTATGAAATAAATCATTTTGTTTTTTCACGTTGTTTTTTTACCCTTGGAAGATAAGACTGCTAGAATGTCTCCTGTTTTTGCAAATTTTGCAATAAGTGTTATGTCACTCCTCTTTTTTATTATTTCAGGCAAAACCAACAAAGAATTTAATATGCGCCATGACTGGAACTCTCTTTTAAGTGATGATGAGTCTCTGTTGATGACACGTTATTCCAAAAAGTTTTTCCCGGATGCTGATGATCTGGTTAGTGACCAAGATTAATTTCCTCCTAACAACACATGATGCATAAATTAAGAGAAAAGGTGGTGAGAATTTAAAAATAATCAGCTAAGGGAAATGCAGGGCTTAAAGATTTAACAACCTTCAAGACAATATTGTTATGAAATGTAAGTTTAGTCTTTCCCGCAAGATTAAACAGTCGGACCATTACTTGATTCTAAGAATTTCTAACAGAATTACATCCATTTTTGGAAAAGCTAACAAGGTCAAGAGAAGCAGCCATGATGGTTACTGACATAAATCGTTGAATTTTGGGGTACCACTGACAATAAAACAACCTTAGTGCTATCAAAGGAATATAAGCTATAAAACTTCTGCATTCATGAAAATGGCCAGGCTGCAATTTTAGCAGTAAGTACATTACAGGAATCAGTTGCCTTTAATTTACCTTCAAATCTTATACTTTTTTATTATTAATTTACTGTACTAAGTGTAAACAGAACACAAGGCCGGGACACACTAGGTGACGTACATGTCACTGCAACACATGGTAGAGAGAGATCACTCTTTGTGAAGAGTCAAGCGACAAGTTGCAACAAATCACTTTGTGTGTACGAGAGAATTTTTGTGAATTCTTTGTCGACAGCAACAGAATTTTGTCGCCACAATTAAGTTGCACAAATTCACTACCATTGTTTTATCCATTGCCTTAACTATTTATCAAAGCAGCTTTTGTTCTTATATAAATTATGTGGTATTATAATAGTCTCTTCTAGTTGAAATTCTTCTTTTTTGCACTAGGTGAGGTACTTAAATGACTATGCAACCAAACTTAAATTAAAAGTGCAGTACAATACAAACATCAAGCTTGTGTCAAGAAATGGTGAAGGCGATGATGCGTTGTTTCATCTTACAGACCAGAATGGGACCATGTACACTTGCAAAAATGTGATAATGAGGTATATAGTGCTCGCACTACATGCAGGTCTATGTGGAACTGTTAAACATTAAAAATGAAGAGGGACCTTGCACACTTGACAAATTAGGAGCTTGCAAAACAGCTCACACTACACAAAAATGCAAAAAACTTAGCTATAATGACTGAACTCGCTGGAATAATAAAAGAAAAGAATTTATTGAATTCTCATTGGCTGTATTTGAACAGTCAAAAGTGGATTTTTTCCTCTTTTTATTCTGGACTTACATTTTTACTAATTTTTGTGTAAAAGAATTTTTTTTTCCTCTTTTATAGTACTGGTATATCAACAGAAAATCTTCCCAGGAATTTTAAAGGAGTTGAATACACTGAGGTATTTTATATTTAAGTTGAATTTGATTTTAATTTTTTTTACGTGAATATATAATAAACAAATTACTTAATAATTATATGGTAGAGAATATGGGGAAGTATTTTCCTTCATTCAAAGAAATCTGATTATTTTAGCCTAGGCCAGCTATTTTCTCGAGCAGTAAATTAGAGTACCACTGTAAACTCAGCTGCACACAGCAGGTGTATCTAAGGGGACCGGTGAACTATAGCTTCCACTAGGTGCCAACGTCCACACAGCTGCTAGTGCACCCTTCAAGATGGTCGTGACTACCAAAATAAAATCAGTGACCTGTATGACCACAATGGCTACTACAGCTTCAGCTATCCTTGACTTTCTTACCACCTCTGCCATAATGGCTGCAACCTGACATGGCCACCACTACTTAAATTGAAACCACAATGATTTTGACTATCAGTGAAAGCCCATGAGTAGAACAACTACCACACAAACCAGAACTACCACAGAGACCATAATTCCTGGTCACGACAACCATATCATCCCTCACCACCATGCAATATGATGACCATGGGTACCACTAGAAACTAGCCAATAATATTATAATTGCGATTACCACTAAACCACCACAACTCGACTACAATGAAAATTTTTTTGCTACTACTGAAAACTACAGCATGACTATTAAAGTTCTTTTGATGATGTCAAGTACATTAGTTATTACATTTTAACACATTTCGAATGCATTTATTTCTCAGAGCTACTCTGAAATGTCAGTTAATCCTGATGATTATGAAGGACAAACTGTGTTAATCATAGGAAGAGGTCAGTCAGTGTTTTGACACTTACTTAGATGGAGTTTTGGAGTTTTTTTGCTCTTCCAAATTAGCATTACACCAGGATTTTCAGATTCTAATTTTTAAAGTGAGCTATAGTTACTATGATCATTTCCTCAAGTCTAAGTAAAGATAATTTCACAAGCTGTACATTCATTTACTTTATGTGGAAATTAGATTGAATCAAACATCAATAGTATGAAGAACCCGAGGCACCAGCATGTTTGAACCCGTTAGGTAAATAAGTAGCCTTAAAAAGCCTGCTAATACAAAACTCAGCAAGTAAATGATTCCAAAATATAGCGGCAGGTTATTATTTTCAGGTCTCATTTGACAGGTCAGAAAGCATACAGGTTTAACTGTGCTACAGATAATTTTAGACCAGACTAGAAGTGTCTCCTAGCCCTACACTCCTTATCCAAAATCGTGTTTTTGATCGTGGAGAAATTATTTGTTTCCTTAACTATCAAACAGTGACTTGTAATCGTGACCTGTAAAAGAAACCTTTCCCAAGTACAGTCAAATCATGCTTTATGGACACCAGCTTAATACAGACACCACATTATTATGAACAGTTTCCTTTGTCCCTGGGGAAAGAAAGCTCTTACATTTTATCTTAATTCAACCAGTTTAATACCAACTGGACATATTCCATGGCCCCCTCAATCACTAGAACTCACTAAGTCATGTCACATGGCCTTTTTTTAATTAGTTTGTGGCTGTTACTGGGTAAATGAATTTCCAGCCAAAAATTAATATTAACAAGTACATAGCAATATTTTGATTAGTCTCATGGTTATAATATTAACAAAAGTTTCTTTTTATTATCACATGCTTACCAGGTAATTCAGCTTTTGAGACAGCAGAAAACATAATGGGAGCAACTAATTTAATCCATATGTTTGCCAGGTGTGTATAGTACTAACCTGAGATCAGGCTTTTTTTTTTTTTGGCTTTTTCTTTGGCTCGAGAGGGGAAAAAATAACGCCTGATACATTCATTTAACAAGCCGTTATAACCGCCCCCTAATTTACATAATCTAACGTCTCTTTGACCTGTCATGTTATTAGCCAATAAGCGTTTACCATACAGGAATCAAATTTTGGCGCGAATAATGTCTCTTTTGACATCAATTTTAGGGAAAGGAAAATTTTTAAGTACGTCCATGTTCAGATACGATCGATGGCACTTTCTAAAAAGAATTTTAAATGTGTTCAAATACTGCTAGCTGGAGCCGCTGTACCTTTATTTAACAGCTACAAAAAATAAAGAATTTACAGGTTAAAGCTCGTTGACTTCCTTCAGTGCCGAAAGCAGTGAAAAAAAATTAGGATGAAGCACCATATTTTACGAACTGAAAGGTGTTGTGAAAGCGAAGATCGCTCAGAATAATTTGCAGGTTTCTGAAAGAGGAATTACAGTCAAACCAGGTCAAGATTCTATTCATGAATTGATTATTTGAAAAGTGAACCCGTTTGTCGCTTCTGTAACTTGTTGCATTCAAATGATCGGTAAATTTTTTACTGCAACTTTTTAGTATACGATGAGATAGAAAATATTTCAGTGGGTGAAATTTCTATTTAGGCATTCTTCAAATTCAAGAAAACTGAGCCGGCAGAAATTTTATAACGAACTCGCGTGTGTATTCACTGCTCATGACACAAGCAAAAATGCAGACTGAAATCAACAACAACTAACGGATGGCGGCATTTTGGCCAATTGGAACAGCGCAAATCATCCGTATTGTTTCTTGTCCAATCAGAAAAAAGTCCAGATTCTGGCTTTTTTACATGTGATCCGACAGAGAAATGTATCATGCCCTCTTCCCGTGAGAGACTTAAAGGGATAATTAGGGAGAGGGCATGATCTCAGGCTAGTATAGTACACATTTACACTGCAAGTTATACAGCTGCATGTGGCCTCCTTCCTCAACTTATAAATTAATTATAAGTATAACATAGGAGTCCGTAAGCATTATGAAATAAGGATGTCTCCGAACAAGCATGACGAATACCCTGGTCCCAGAGGTTTTTTCTTCTTAATTTTTCTTTAATATCAATCAATCAATAAACAATGCCAAGACGCAAGCCCTTTTAATCGCTCCCTGCAAGTACGGTTTTGACTTAACTTTGAATGGTTGTGGCGTTACTAAACTTCCCTCTATTAGAATTTTGGGCGTGGAACTTGATAGCATTGTTAAACTTTATAGAGGATATTTCTAGTCAGCCAAGAAAGGGGTGTGCAAAGACTGGCGCACTTAGGAGAATTATGCATTTTGTACCAGCCCTATGGACATTATGGTAGCATTATATACACTTCTTTCATTTTACCACATCTACAATACTGTAGTCCCCTTCTGTTACGGGTGGGGAAAGTCCAGACCAATAAAATTGAAGACGCCAATCATTATTTTCTAAGGACTCTGACAGGGCACGGGAAATCATTGTCCTACCAAGAACTCTTAAATATATGTAAGTTGGACACTTCAGAGTGTAGGAAAAAGCAGCAATCTCTGATCCTATTATTTAAATGCATTAGGAACATAGCTAGGGCCGAAGTACATTAGAGACTTTTTTAGCATAAGAGAAACGTCTTACAATTTAAGAGGAATGTTAATCTTTGTGTTCCCAAATTTAATCTTAATTTTATGAGGAACTCTTTTACTTACAAGTGCGCTCAACTATGGAAGAAATTAACTTCCAGGAGATGTCAAGCTGGCTGATAATGTTAATATTTTTAAGTCTAAGCTAAGGTCAACTCAGCTGTAATTTTTATATTTTTAATTCTTTTTTTGTAATTTTTATAATTTTTTATATTCATGTGTACATTTTATTATTATCATTTTTTTTCAATACTAGATTTTTATTATAATTGTAGATTTAATGCACGTTTGTATTTTGAATGAGCACTTGTGCTCTTAGACGATAATGTGGGTAAATAAATTATTGATTGATTGATTGATTGATCGATTGATTGATAGGGGTGGGTATAAAGAGGCGGAAAGTATATATTGATGTATCGGGCCATCAAGGGATCTTGTTTACAGTTATTTTCAGTTCACAATTTTGCACAACCAAATTATGATCCTCAAAAAAAATTTCTCTTTGATTTCGTTACAGATCAAGAGTTCGTCTGTCTTGGGAAACACACTATGTTGGTGATTTGAGGTAGGTTCCAAACTTACTCTTTTCTTACTCAAAAAAATATTCCCAAACAAAGAAATTTAGCAAAAAAGCTTACCATTCTATTCCCAGAGAGAATGGTCCAAATTGACTTCTGTTAACCCCCCTGTAAATTATTTTATGCTATATAAGAGCAACATTGTTTTATATCAGATAGTCAGGTCATATTTTTGTGAAATGTTTTATATTTTATTTGATCTAATTTGATCATAACGCTTGCTCTTTGTCTTTTTTTCCAGAGCTGTAAATAATGGGATATTGGATACGTATCAACTGAAATCTCTGGATGCATTGTTGGGTAGGTCTAGTTATGAACCAATCTCACGCTTTTTTCTATAAACATGTCCGCTGATGTTATATGTTCAGGGGCACCCAACGAGAATATAGTTCAAAACCACTTAAACATGGCATTGTTAAACGTATTTTAGTATTAAAACGGTAGATCTTTTTCAGGGGAGGCATATTTTTAAGGAGGAAAAATTTTCCATCTGTTCCAAGGAGGGGGCTCCTAAAAAATTGTCTAGTGATCCGAAAATTTAAAGGATCAAAACTTACCTCTTCCAAAATTGTCATATTAAATGAACTTTCCTTAAATCAGATAGGTGACATATTTTTGGGCAAAAATCCGTCCAAAATGGGCAATTATCTTTTTTTGTTTTTTAGATGTTCGAAAATCCTAGGAGAGGCAGACAAGCAAGAAATTTTGGAAAAAATGTTCCGAAAATTCTAGATCTCAAATCGTCTTCCGAACAGATATTTTCCGAAGGGCGGTGATTTTCTTTGCTTTCTTTATTTTTGTTAAGACCTCTCCAGCTGGTGTATGACATTTTCGCCATTTCATTTTATTTAACCTGAGATCAGGTTCTATTTTCGTTTCGCTTTGAAAATTACATTCCGGTGGGCAAGGCGAAACGGAAAGACCTGATACAATCCTTCTAAACCACAGGGTCCAGAGGAGTTTTGTGTGAATAAATGAATCACTTATCTAAAGTCTCACCTTGAAAAATATCTATTTCTGCAGTCGTTTAGCACGATTAATTAGCCCAGTGGGCTCTTTATGAATCTACTGTAAACGATTTCTTCACTTCTTATCTGACCAAGATCGACTTTGTTGTTCGCCATTTGAAAATCAATAACCACAAGCTATATCCTCGCTGGCGCACGGCACGTCGCCTGAAGGGCGACTGCGAGCCCTCATTCTCTTGTGAAAACGAAACTGTAACCACAGGTAACTCAGGCTCACTGTTTGTGTCACGTATGGGTTTCATATAGAGAACATATAGAGAACATATGGAAATTTGCTAGAAAATGGAAATAAAAATCGATGAAACTTACCATGTGGTGAATTGTTGTTGTCCTTAATATGCGCACGAAGTTTGGAGAAAAATAGTTTGCTTCATCTTTTCTACATAGTATAGCCACTATACCGGATCATTCATGAAAACAACGACGCAAGGAATAGCCCTTTCAACTTCTGTTGATTTCAACAGCCAATCAGACCCTGAGGCATTGTTCCAACAGCCAAGCTGTCGGAGCGTTACGGCCAAAATCTGGCCGCAGTGAGCACAAACGTGAGAGAGTTTGTATCAGGCCCAATTTTAGCGGTAGCCATTAGAGAGAATGTATGAGAACCGCTAAAATTGGGCCTGATCGCAGGTTACATTTTATTGGAACCAGTGTACGCACCTTCCCCTCTGCACAATAGAGTTGTAAATTGCCGCTTATGAGCCCCCCTCCCCTTCCCCCCATGAATAGGTTCCCCCAGTTATCACCCCATCTACCTGTAAATATGAGGATTTAAAGCTTAATAATTATTAAAAGCCACTAAATGCAAAACGTATTTTGATCATCGCTGTTATAACATCAGTAGGAGGCAGCGTGGCCGAGCGGTTAGAGTGATGGACTTGTAATCCAGCCGGAGGCCCCGAGGTCAACTCCTGCCCTGACCGCGAGCTGGATGTGTTCTTGGTAGTCCCGAGTTCAAATCCTAGGCCACGCTAATAACTAGCTGGTTCACCTCCTACTTATAGTTAGATAGATAGATAGATATTCTGTTTATTTCACCCAATTGCAGCAATAACTGAATTTTGGGGGAAGGTCATTGTCACACACAATTAACCATTTACATACGTTGCAGGGCGATCGACTTTTTAAAACCTTGTTATGTTGCATTTGAATTATTTGTTTCATTATCCCCGGAAGCCCCTCAAGGATAGGAGCCCCCCTGTTATGTTAAAAGCCTTTTTATAACAACCTCTTGCGAAGATTTTCAGTGAAGCCCAGGGCTTTTAAACAGCTGTTTACGGTATTTCTTTGAATACTCGTTTTTGTCATGGTTATTTTTATACAGAGGCACCTATTGAAGAGATTGCAGTCATCAAGAAGGATGGAAAACTTCATGTTGATGCGTTTGACGGCTCTGGAGAAAATATCGTTACTACTGAACAGCCTATTTCAGAGAGTGGAAAAGCTCGTAAGTTAAAGTTTTTACGGTAAACTCTGTTTATATTTTAATTAATGTTATTTTCTGTTTTTAGAGAGCTTTAGCAACCGGAACGTCAAGAAGCAATTAAGTTTATCTGCAAAAATCTACAACTATGCACGTGCAGCACACTTTTTCCACATTTCTTTACAGTCACTGCACGACTACGACTTAAAATTTCCTCAAGCGTCCTTTTATGGAGGACGTAAAACTTGTAAAACTGTAGCAATCCTGTAACTACGACCAGTATAGTGAAATCTCTTTCTTTCTATCTTTTCTCTGTGTAGTAATTTAATTTGTTTTGCTCTTATTATTTTCATTTTTGTTGTCATTGCTGCTATCATTATTTTAATTTACTATTTATTGTAATCTTAACTGCTGCTGATTTGAAATCCTTGTAAGTAATGCACCTATCAGGAAGCTCTAACCTTATTATAGGAAATTAACGCTCCATGAAATTAACGCGAATCGTTAAAATTCGCGTTAATTTAAGTCGCGTTAATTTTGTTGAGCGTTAATTTCCACGACGTTAATTAAGTGCAGCGTTAATTTCCGCGCTCTTAATTTCCAGTATTTTAACCCCAATTTTGGACACCTAAAAAAAAACATTAACTACAAGCTTTCTTTCTTTCCATTTATCCTTTATTTTTCATCTTTAACAAAAGCTAAGGCAAAGGTTTACAATATTTCGAGTTCATCTTCGTCGTTGTCGCTGTCAGAAGTGATGTCAGCTCAGTTTTGTTCAGTTTTGATTTTTTTTGCATCCAGTGTTGAAATAAATTTGTTCCAGTTGTCTCCACCAACTGTGTCTTAATCGCGTTAATTTCCTTTATTATGAAATTCTACCTCCTCTTTCGCTCTAATTTTCTTTATTCGAAAGTCGTTTTCCATTTTAAATTCGCGTTAATTTAAGTCGCGTTAATTTCCAATACCTTAATTTCATGGAGTGTTAATTTCCTATAATAAGGTAGACTCAGTGAAGCGCATGTGGGTAGGGAATTTGACATCCTGAACCTCCCCAGGGTGGGAAATTTGACCCAGCTGCCATCTTGAAAAGTGGAGGACCATAGGGAATGAGTGATAAGAAGTCCGCCATCTTAGAAAATACCCAGTAGTCGTTTGCATGAGTTTCCCACATTTTGATGTGTTCATTTCTTTGTGAAGGATGGCAGAACGAAATTTGCTTTTAAGTTTTTGAAGTTTTATGACAAAAAGTATTTTGTCCCTCAGCATTGAGAAGCAATATTTACACGAAGTGTCATTTTGAAAATATGCTTTCTACTTGCATGTTTTCACCAGATGCTGCCCTGCCACAAGTTTTTGATAAAATGAAAGATCAAAAAATCATACGCAAAGACATGAAAGAGTCCTGAAATTCTGTGTTAGATTTGGTGCTATACTCAAAATGTCCAATTAAATGAAATTCTGGACCACACGTACAAAACACCAGCCCTTAGACATTAACCCTTCTTGATGCTGGCATGTCATTTTCTGGAATTCAGCATTTTGCATTGCTGTAAACACTGTTTGAAACAATTCAAAGGTACTTTTGGGAGTATAGCATGTGAGTTAAATTGCCAGCAACACAAAATATCTAGCTAGAATATGTCTTTTATACTTGGCGGAAATGCACAAAGTTTGTGGGTACCATTATTTTTTTGTCACCAAGTAATTATTACTCTCTGAAGATCGACGCTCAGTGCTACAATAACAACTGTTGTGAGTGCGTATTAGATCGCCCCAGGGATGTGAATTTGACCCAAAATGGAGACCCAAGGGAGGGGAAATTGACATTTGAAAACTGAAAATGGCAAATTTCCCGTGGGTTGCCCCCGCCCCCCCCTTACATCTCCATCCTGAGGCAAACCATTGATAGGTGCATAAATATGTTTAGCGCTAAAAACCCTAGTTGTAATAAGCTTAACTTAATCATACCTACCCGCCTCGACTAGTTTAACTATTTTGTGGGTAGGTACTATTGAAATTGTAAATGTCTGTGTTTTAATAAAGTGTGTTGTTGTTTGTTGTAAAAACAACACGACAAATTTTTCTTTCTCCCTTTAAACTTGCATTTGTGCGCTAGTCCCCAAAATTTAAATTCCAGGAAAATTCACTTACATTTGAGATTTTACGCGAGGCAGAATAATGTGGACAAAGTTTGAACAAAAAGCGAATTATTTTAGTACAGGTCACAAATGCTTTTGTTGTACCGGTGAAGATTAAGGAGAATGCCGGGCATGATGCAATAGAGAGCTTTTGCAACCACGATGAAAACAGCAGATAAAACATCACTACGTAAAGCGAAGCACCTGCTTAACTCCCTCTTACCTTAATAGGCATGTAGCGTGTGAATATGTCCATCTCTCCTTGCTCCTCGCTGCGAAACATTCCTAGCTGTTAAGACTGTGTAAGGGAGCTGCTAAGAGCGAGAATAGGTGGGTGTATTCTTAGTCTATAGGCTCTGAGAATATGTCAAATGTATCTTCTTTGTTTACAGCTGATAACTTTGCAGTGAGGGAACCTTATGATCGTATTATAAGATGCCTGGGTTTCAAGGTATGCTTTTCATAGTTAAGAGCCAGAGTTGAATGCCATTTCTAACCAGATAAAGAGCTCTGCTGGACTTGAAACTTAAACCAAATTTTGACAGTTACGGGATCACTTACCCTCAACATGTTTTTGTTTGTGCTTAGTTTGACTTCTCTGTGTTCGACAATTCAACCCAGCAAAGACCATGCAAAGGAAAGCGATCCAGAAAGTACCCAGAAATTCAACCCAACTATGAATCAACTACAGTGCCGCGACTCTTCTTTGGTGGGTTTTGTTGTTCTTTTACTCTCTTTCAGTTTCCACACCCCGCATGGGTACCACTGGCAAGTCTTGGTGGGGGTGTGCCGCCCAGTTCTCCAAATCCTGACTCTATTTCGGAACAAAAAAATGTCATTTTCCACACCAGTTTTCAGACCTGGCCCCGGTTGTTTTAACGTTGGATAGCGCTATCTACCGGATAAATCACTATCCAGCGGATAAGTATTACGAGAAACAATGGTGTTATCTGCTGGATAGTGATTTATCCAAAGGATAGCGCTATCCAACGTTAAAACAACCGGAGCCTGGGGCCCGTTTCTCGAAAGTCCCGGTAACTTTTCGAGCCCGAAATCAAATATTCAAATCGAAATATAAAGAATAAGAGCGCGGGTCCTGGCTGGCAAACTACTCCATTTTGTTTCACTAACTGATAGTTTTATCATGCTAGATGCAAAACTTTTGAAACCTCGATCTTTAATATAAACGGAGACAGCTTACCAAGCCCGTTAATTATCGGGACTTTCGAGAAACGGGCCCCTGGCCTTTAAAATCCAGACTCCTTTTCAGACCTGAAATTACTTAGATTAGAACGTCAACAAAAAGATTTCTTAAAACCCATTTCGAATTCGCATATTATCTTTCTTTCCTATTTATTTGGAATTGGACCAACAAATACGTTCATATACTAGTAGCTACCTCGAAAACCATACCCGATTCCAGACCAAAATGTGGAAAGTCTATACCGGTTTTCAGACCGAAATACCGCAAAACCTATACCGTTTGGGGCAGTACATACCTACTGTATATGGCTTATATAAGGGAGTACTGACCACCCTCGGGTGAGACACCTCTCTGTCCTTTAGGGGAGCCAAGTTAGCACACGGTCTTTTCATAAACTTTGCAGTTCCACAGTCCTACTCCATAACTGCTTATTTGTTTGTTTTCTCTTACAGCTGGTACCAATACTCATTCGATTGACCTCCGCAAGTCTGCAGGAGGATTCATTCATGGTTTTCGTTACACTGGTTTGTAGCGTTCTAATTTTTTTTCAATGAATATATATTTTTTCAGATTAGTAAACAAGCTGGTCAACAGATCATGATTATTTAAATATCGACCCAAAACAAGCAAATGCACTTCCTCAAGTAAGCCTGCCCTCAGGCTAGTCTACACGCCACTTGCACATCTCCCACACACCTTATTTGCCCCCCAAAATTTTGCATTAGCATTGTTTTCAATTTCTCTTAGGACGGCTGTAATACCCAGGCGAAGTGAAAAACAAGGCTTTTGCAAAATTTTGGGAGGGAGGGGGGAGGGGCACTAAGGTGCGTTATGGGAGATGTGCAAGTGGCGTATGCAAAGGGCTGACAGTTGCATTTTATGACTGTTTGAAAGTTGAGAACACGTTGTGGTTTTGTGATTTATTCATATTTTAAAGACAGTACATTTACAGCAGTTTAAGGGGGTGCAAAGTTCTAAACTAGGTATGTGAAAGCGGTACCATTATTTTGTAAATAAAAGGCATAAGAAAGGGGTACCTTTTTTGCCGAAAGTGGCATACTAATTAAAAGGGTTAAGGGTTAGACCTCGGGGCGGAACCTCCCCGTATAAAACTTTGTCGAGTAATCCCCTCTACCCGGGAAAGTAACCAAATCAACAGCTTGTTAATGAAGTCTTCTTAGAATTTCTGTTATTTGTAAAACTAAGAATGCTTTTTTTCACACAGCTCGGGCTCTTTTTCGTCTGTTGGAATGGCGTAATCATAAAGTCACCTGGCCTCACATCACAGTCCCTGTAACAGAACTCTTAAACGTCATCGTCAAAAGAATCAATGAAGCCTCGGTAAGATTTGAATTAAGCACTTGTGCAGATCGTTGGAAGCCATTTAAAAAGCTGGGTCACGGAGTTTATTGAAATTCAAAGAATGGGAACTACCACCAAATATTTTAAAAAATATAACACAGCATAAGATTAGAACGGATTGCAATTGCGGTTTTTGAAAACCTTTTAGCCTAACATTTGTTCAAAGTTCGTTTTTGTTGCTTGTAGGGTTTGATATAATGCCTTGGGAGACACATTTGTTTGAAATAAAGCTGTGATTTTGTCATTTGTTAGCAGTTTCTTCGCTTAAGTTTTGTTCCATTGCGAAAAAAAAAAAACGTGTAAGTGGCAATATTAACACAAAGACCTACGTATAGACAGCAGTGACACAGTACTCAAATTTAATGATGATTTATAAAAACACTATAAATATTACCTATTATTTTTAAAAAGGCCCCTAAGAAGCTTTGTCACTTTTGCCTTTACAGGGTATTTATCAAATGTTTGGTGTCCTTGGAGAGATAATGGTTTTCCGTAAGTTTGTCATAGTTCGTAGTTCTAAACTGGAAAAGTCTACATCTTTCTATTGTAGCGGGCGTATGACTGGACGTACGGTGTGTAGGGAGAAAACGTCATTAAATAAATGGAATTAACTCTAGATAGCAGTTAGCACAAATGCTTTCTTTGTAACCCAGGACGATGCAGTCAGTTCAGATCAATTTATGGTTTCAAACACTTGTTTTGACAACGCCTTCAAAATGTTTAACTAATTAGCGATTTGATACTAAAGCTTCAAATTTACTACGCCTCCCATAAACCGATGAAATGCCGGCCTTCTTCTGACCTCGATCCATTCTCACTTGCAGGGGAAAATGGCAAGATTGATTATTTTGAAGATTTTCCTATTAGACTCGTTCATAAATTTGAAGGTGAGAGTAAGATAAGTTTATGTAAATGTAGGTGAAATTCCCAGGAATTGAATTCTTGGGGACCGCACCAAAGGTTAGAGGGAAAAAGAGAAATTTGTCGTGTTATGTTACTCCTCCATAAAACGTCGCTTGAGGGAATTTTAAGTCGTAGTTGTGTAGTGACGGCAAAGAAATGCACAAAAGAGTGTACTGCACGTGTAGAGTTGTCGCTAGCTGTCGCTGTCGTTGTCGCTTAAGCTCCCTACAAAAACGTCACTTTCGAAATGAATTCGCCCTACCTCAAACTTTATCGTGCTTATTCCATCTCGTTTAATTCGTCAAATGTGGGCACATTTTTTTCGAGTTGAATTCTCGAGGCCTGTACCAAAGTTCAGTAATGACATATAAAGGAAAGAAAGTTGCTGTAAGCTAAATATCCTGACACGTAAATAAAGTTTATTATTTATTTATTATTTATTTATTAAGCTCCCTGAGTACTACAAGTGCAGACATTGCATTGCATTGTTTCTAAGTCTTCCTTTGTATCTTTGTCTCATCATGTCACACGAATGAAGAGTTCAGGAAACTGTGGTGTTGTGTCAGTGGGGGGAGAGAAACAAAAAAGCTTTCTTTCAACTGAATTTATCTAGACTACGAAAAGTCCCCCATTTTTCCTCAGGGAGAGTAGAGTGAGCGAAACGCGAGCGTGCGTGAAAATCACCCCACGCGAGAAAAGGCGACGCGTGTCGCGTGTCGCCTTTTCTCGCGTGGTTTGATTTTCACGCGCGCTCGCTTTTCGCTCACTCTACTATCCCTGAGGAAAAATGGGGGACTACTCGTAGTCTAGAATTTATTGGGTCAATTTACCGCTCAAAAAAATTGAAAAGCTGCACGATTCAAGCGCGAACCCTTCGAAGGCCCTGTTGTCGTAGCAACGTGCTCTGAAGAAGGGTTCAGTAGCATTCGAAACGTCAGCTTTTTAGACTTTTTACATTGGCAAATTGACTAATATCCTCAGTTGATAAAACCAAGTTTTTGTGATTCTCAGACAGTTAGAGGAACGAACGAGCGACCTTGGATAATCTGAGAATCAGGCTACATCCTTTGCAAAAAGAGCTATTGGGGAGCAAGTAGACTTTCAAAAAAGTCCTTCGTTGGATCCCATATGGCGCGGGACGGTCGGCCGCTTCGCGGCCAAACAAGGCTCGCTCCGCTCGCCAAGAGGTCGACTTGTAGCAAGTCTAGGGAGCAAGGGATGGTGTAGTGGTGAGAGCGCTCGCCTCCCACCAATGTGGCGCGGGTTCAAATCCCGGCGTCGACGCCATATGTGGGTTGAGTTTGTTGTTGGTTCTCTCCTTTGCTACGAGACGTTTTTCTCCGGGTACTCCGGTTTTCTCCTCTCCTCAAAAACCAACATTTCCAAAGAAGAACCTCTCTGTGGATGTGCTACCTCCAAATCGTTATTTGTTATTTATTATTATCTATTTATTTATATTACGTAGCCCTTATATTTCAATAGTTTTTCCTGGTTTAAAAGCTTACTCGCCTGTTCGGTTTGGCGAACTAAATTCGTGATTGGATTTTAGAATGTCGAATAAATGAGAATTGAACGTTACTTTGTGTTTTTTTTTAACCGTGGCAGAACTATAATTCCTGGAAATGGAAAATAGTTGTTTGGAGAGAGCTGCCTTGTTGAAAAAACTGGCGTAGGTGGCAGAAAACTTTTTAACTTTTCGCGCGGCGGAGCAGTAGCAGAAGCTCATGACACGCAGCAAGAGATTTTCACCAATTAAGTAGTTGCGCGCAATAAATCCAGCCAGCTGGTTCGGCTAACTTGTTGGATACTGAGAGATACTCAGTCAAACTGAAAAATGTTTTGAAGTCGGTTGTTTAACTCCTTAACATACACGACGTGGTATTGCTTACGATTTGCAGAGTACACGGGTCGCCCAGCCGGTCCAATGATAGTCCTCAACATGGAATATGGCAAAGACTTTTCCGGAGCAGGGTTAGTATTACTTTTGTTGTTTATTCATTCATTTATTCGTGTAGACATCACAGAGGTAATTTCTGTAGAACAAAACAGACTTCCATGAGATATTATCTCCATACTGTAGTCTTAGAAACCGGTGACCTTAACTAGTAAGTTTACTGTGGCACAAAAAAGATACTTAAAAATGTTATCTATAAACAGAGATGGCCCAGCCTCTTAAAATTAATTTGATCACACTCCATATTCCATCACGACAAGCACATAGTTAGCAAGCCAATCTTCAAAACAACCAAGCACTATTAAGTTTCGTACATTGACTGATCATGAGTCACTGCTGTCACACCACTCCACCTTACTTTCATACACTGAAACGTGCGTTTGACTTACGTTAATCAAAGACTTAACTCGTGAACTCTTTGACGACCGCTTTGGTCGTATTCGTTTCATGTTTAACGAAGCTCGTTTTCCTTTCTGAACCCATTTAGCTTCCATCCCTTTTTTTGCACGTGCGCATGAGCCAAAATTTGAACTATTTTTGGTCTTTTATGAGCAAGACAGAATTTCCAAAATGAGGTATCTGTGAAAAGATCCATCCTTGCTGATGCTGCTGGAAAATATCAGTGTCCTTATTAGTGTTGCAAACTCATTTTAAGCCATTCCTATGCTAACGCCTAAAACTAGTCAAGAAAAGAGGAGTTGTTGAAAAATGCGGTTTTTCGCCAACTCCCTGGGGGTCGCCAAAGGTTTACGTTTGATCGATCACTTGGAAGTTTGGCATGGCAACACGGGATTAAGAAATACGTTTTGCAGATCATCCTCCGCATATAACATGTTAAAGTTCCCGAATTGTTTAGTGACCCTACCCCATCCTAAACTATCGTTAATCGCTAAAAACGTTTAGGCAGGACTTGGTTTCGAAGCTTATGTTACAGTATGGCATTATTTTCTTACTGTTTGCAGAAAGGACACTTTTCGCTCAGATCGGGCTACAGGAGAGCCGTCTGATGCGCATAATTCTAACTTTTTGCATCCTGTGTTTTACTTCTACAAGCACCCACCCACAGGTAACTATACGGTATTTCATTGATAAAGCGCCCTGGTGCTGAGTGCGCTAGGTGAATTTTTTCTTTAACAAACTGAAACTTTATTTTGGCTAAATCTCGTTATGAAAAAGAATCTCAAAAGATTCACAGTAAAACCTCTTTTAAGCGTCCAGTCACCACAACTAAAACCTGTTACCACCGGAAAATGAGAAGGGGGGGAAAATATATTTAAGATATTTAGCAACACGCCTTTCCCTTTTACGGTGGACATGAAACCCCTGTTAGATGTCTGGCGTTTGCTCTTTGAGGTTCAATCGATTCTCCACTCAACGTTACGTCAAGTTATTGGGAATTTAGCTTCTATCTGAGTGAAAAATGTCCCTTATCGAGGAATACCTTACACAGTCAAAGACAAAATGAGCAAGGAAAACCATACTTAATGTTATAGGCTTCTTCCGATGCAAAGGCAGCAGAAAAACCCACCGAAAGCAAAATACTGCATCAAAACGTGTTTTCTTGAGGCGGTCGACATATTAGGGCCATTTATACGAGGAAAAATAAGGCGCGTCTTAAATAAGACGCGAACTGGACCATTTAAACGAGCATGTCTTATCTAAATCTTCTGTACACTTAAACTTACTTTTAAATTGTAAGTTTATAATACGAAGATAGCAATTTGATTAGTAAATATAAATTGTGATAGTTTAGAGTTAAAAGGGTCAACTTACACCAGCAGATGTCACGCATTTGTCCATGAGGTCTGTTATCGCCTTCTCCTTACATAATAACAAAAAAATCTTTTTCCTCCGCGATGGACCAAGTGTTTCTTTTTACCTTTAACGGCGTGCTCATTGTATTTGAGCGAAGAAAAAAATAAAGCAGAATAGACAAGGAAACGAAAACGCGTTGTAATTTGTAAACAATTTTTCCCCGCCAGTGGCCTGCCAGTCCACCGCGGGGCAAGCGATAATTTTCCCGCCAAAAATTAACGCATGCGTACTATGCGTTAGCGTCTTATGAAAGACGCGAAGGCTTGCGAAGGTCATTTATACGAAGTTTTTCTCGTCTTAGCTAAGACGCGTCTTATCTAAGAACAGGGGTTAAGGGCTGTTCTAAAATAAGACGCGTCTTAGCCAAGTCGCGTCTTATTTTAGACGAAATATGCCGTTTATATACCCTGAAATTGATCCGATTGCTTCGAGTCGTTTTCTCCTCTCAACAACGTCTGAATCGACCGGCCGTTAATGCCGTCCAGTGACGTCACTCACTACCCTAAAACCGGGTAGTGATTTTTGATTGGTTGATTGTCCAAAAGGAGATGTAAAGAATCAACCATAAGAGGACACAGAAAAAATCTGAGCCCCAGATGAGATTCGAACCCACGACCCTCCGTGTTCTAGATCGGATGCCCTAACCTCTGAGGTACTGAGGATTCGTTGGCGAGCAAGGGTCATTTTTGTGGGTTGGACTTTCGAACCGCATCTCGCAGTCACACAGTCCATCACAGGCAACACATTAAGGCTTAACTGTATCACACAGTCACATTAATAGTAAGAAATGTCTCACTCATGAAGGAGCCTCCAACCAACCAACCTATGCCAATGATATTAATATTATAAAGGAAATAAAGGGAGATGTAAAGAATCAATCATAAGAGGACACAGAAAAAATCTGAGCCACAGATGGGATTTTATGATATTAATATCAGTGGCATAGGTTGCTTGGAGGCTCCTTCATGGGTGAAACATTTCTTACTATTAATGTGACTGTGTGAATCGGTGGGAGTGCCTATTTCCTAGGGTTGAGGGTAGGGCGCTTATTTGGGGAAATATGGTAGAGACCCTGTCAAAGAACTCCAGTTTACTTTTTTCAGTTTTGTGGAGACCACACTTGATCGCTTGATCAAGACTGAAGTTTTTCTTTTCCTGCAGCTTTACCTAAGGAAAAAAAGGGCGTTGTGCTTCCGAGACCACACCGCCTTCACCACATGGTCGAAGACTTCTTAACACTCTGGTAAGCTAAACTTAAAAGTAGGTTTACATGAAAAGAAAAAAAGCACGGTCTTTGGGACTGAAAACTTCATTTGGTCTTTACTTTAAATGATATAATATCTTTTTGAAGGGTGGTTAGTCATCGGAAAAAACCCACAAATGTGAAATCGTTTTCCTGTGTGGGGTCTTTATCGAAAAGTATTGTTACTGGAATTTCTTTCATCGATTTTCAGAGTTATCGCAAATGAGGAAGAGGTTTCTGTAGTTCTCCCTCGCCTCGTTCGCTTAGATTGCGCAAGTCTTTACACGGAGCTTATTCAGTTCTCGACCCATCGACAGCCTCTTTTATCAAAGCAATGTGTAGTAGCAAGATATCTTCTAAATGTAAATCTAAATCATGATGGTTTTGTCGGCAACATCCAGGAGGGACATCACGCCAACTCTAAAACGCTAAAAAATAGAAGATGACAATAAAAGCTAAAACTACGAATAAAAACTAATATAAACTGCTAGTTAAAGATAGCCGAATGTTGTACTTTTAAAAACAGAGAGAAATTGACTGGTAACAGTTTTTTTTCGAAAGTTTGTTCCATTCAGTTATTGTCGTGGGAAATAAAGAAAATCTAAAAATATCCTTGTGTCCTTCCAGTACAATAAACTTAAAATCGTGGCTTCCTCGTGTTCTCCTTTCTCTATTGTATAGGAAACCATAGTACATCTTCTACATAACAGACAGCCTTGCGTGTCTTCTAATTGTTTCAAGTGTTTCCCACTTTAAATCTTGCAGCATCCCCATCACGCTCGCTGTTCAATCGTAATTTCCCGTGACAAAGCGAGCCGTTTTTCGTTGTACCCTTTCTAGAGCGACTACAGGCATACTGGAGCCATAAGCTAATTAAAATTCCATCTGGGCCATGAGCTTTGTCTGCGATTCCACTCTGGGGCACAGGTTATGATAGTTATTGTTCCAATACAATATTGCTTTATGGAGTTGTCGAGAAAATCAGAAAGACAATTTTCTCTTTCCACCATAGAAAGAGAAATTAAAGAGCGGAGAGAGCCAGCTGCTGGAAGAACGTAGCATGACCCCCATTCGGTCTCATCAGCATTAGCAAATTCTGGGGTGGCGATCATTCGAGGGTCAGGGTGGCGCTCTGTTAAGTAAAGACCCTATTTCTAACGTTTTTCAAGGGGCCATAGATACCAAGTTGAATTTTTGTTACAGGACTGCTCCATCTTCACACCTCCTTCCATTGCGACGGTTTATTGAGAATGTTGTCGGCAGTGATCTCCGAAGCTTTTTTGCGTCATCCTGCTTCAAGGTAAATTGAATGAGTTCATTAAGTGATACTCAAACAAGGCAAAAAGTTGTACTTTTTTAAGGACACTGTCGCCTAGGCCTAGTTCCCTTTCGTAAACGATGGTTGCCATTCTTAACGGTCGATGCAAATGATATGTTTTTGAATAGCCCAAGTTGAATTTATGTTAAAAGTTGTGGAAAGGGGTGGGATCTCTCTCCTGTTGTTGATGTATCAGTTAAGAAAGACAGTTCTCTAGTGTATGTATTTAAATTTTTAGAATTTTGGTGGGTCGGTTTGGTAGTGTAGTGGTAAGGGAGAAAGATTAGGATAAGAAAGGTTCCGGTTGGAACTGTCCGGGTTCGACACTGAGTTTCGATCTTCTTTCTTTTTAATAGAAACACTCTCAATAACAGGTCAAAAATTTTCAAAGTGTCTTAAAAATGCGACCGTTTACGAAAGGGAATTTGCGCCGTTAAGATTAAATCCTACTTGAAAATCCAATGCACCTAACTCAGGCCTTGGCTACTTCATATTACACACAATTATTTGTAATAGATGCAAAACGTGAAGTCATGTTACTTCACCTTCGACATAATTGCTACCGTTTAGGTGAGAATTAGGGCTAGGGGACACTTTGTGAAGTTTCTTATAGAGGGCGGCGTGAATCTCATTAGAGTGCGTTCGGTCCCTGAGGTGTGTGTGTGTGTGGAGGGGGAAGGGGGGTTAACGAAGTGCACTGATACTTCCAGTCTTCGGGCAGATTTTAGGAAAATCCTTTCTGTTGAAAACCGTTGATTATTGTTTGCTTATCATACGTTACAGAGTGAATTTACTATGTTTCTCTCGTTGTTTAAAGGCGATTTTGTCCAAAAGCGACTCGCCTTCATGATCATAATGTAGTTTACACGAAAACTTCTAAAACGTTAGAGACTTCTCGGGATATTGCTCCTCTAAGGATCCATATCTTGAATAAGTTGTATCGAGTTGCGTTTTACTCGCGAAAGTAATTATAGTTTGCTTTAAAAGAAACAATGTGATCATTCTGTCAACATAATTTTTTTTACATAATTTGTTGTTGTTCAATTTGAGTATTTTGCGTCAACTGATAAAGCGTATATTTCTTCATCACACTTTAAGTTTTGAAACAGAGATGTAACTACCGTCACGAGGTTCATTATTATTTTCTCTTTCCAGATAATGATGACGCACAAAACTGCACCAGTTAATTGCCACAATCATTACACTGATGGTAAGAATAAAGACGTTTGCCCTCTTTTCATTTCCTTACGTCTCTTTTTCCTGGTGTTGTCTATAACAACTGCCATGAAGGAGTGAAAAGTCCGGCTTTTTTTTCTGCGAGATCGAAATACGGTCAGACTACGAGTTGTCCCCATTTTTCCTCAGGGATAGTAGAGCGAGCGAAATGCGAGCGCGCGTGAAAATCACCCCACGCCAGAAAGGCGAGACGCGGCAGGGAGAGAGAAGAATCACCGCGTCATAGTCCGCGGTGATTGCGCGTCCGCACAAAGCGTATTTAAATAGTTTAATTGTTCGGCACGTCTACATGAAAACACTAAAACGATGAATTTAGACAGCATTCCTTAAAAGAGCATGATGAATGACATCAATCGTTTTCGAAAACCTCCGTCCATCCACAAGTAAACGAGAAGCCGGCGTTTTCGGCAGTTTTGGTGTCCGAAACTGCGTTTCCGCGTGGACGGAAGGCTAGACTGTACGATCGGAAGAGGGATTACCCTCCATCAATAAAAATAACCATGTTTTTTTTTTTGCTGGTGAAACAAAGTAAAAGGAAACTTTCTGGGGTGTCTAATTTTGCGAAAAAAAAAGCGTTAACTCAAATTTCTTCTTCTTATTATTATTCGTCCACGCCATCGAATCTTAAGGACTCTATTAAGGGAAGGGGAGTGGGGGGGCTCTTATTTGCTTTTTTTTTTTTTTTTGCCTTATTTATGGAAACACGGTATTTTGAGGAGACTGATAACAGTTACCACGACTTTTTTCAACATTCTTACAAACAAAATCTGGGAAGCTTTACTACGACGTCCTCTGTGCCATTAGAAAAAGAAATTCAAAACTAAACAAAACAGAGATGTTCAAATGGGAAAGAAGACAATTTTCTTTGAAAGTGTTTCCTTCATTGAATGAAACAGTCATGATGTAACCACTAGCGAAGTGGCTAGGATGCTTTTAAGTGATTATTCACTTTTTTATTCACAATTTTGTAGATCAAAACCAATTATTTCTTTTTTAGTACTATTAAAAAAATAAAAAAGGACAAAGAAGGTATGGAAGGAGTGTTAAGCAACCAGTGTGCTTAAACACTTTCAAAGAGAAACAGCTGGTTGATCTGGTTTCCACATGCAAGCTACAATCGCTGGAAAAGATCGCTCGATCGTTGGGATTTCAACTATCGCAATGATCGTACTTTTTTAAAATTTTTTTTTTTTATCAGCGGTCAAGCGGTTCTGTTTTAGCCTTTTGAAACGTCTCATCTTCTTCTTTGTTTACTGTAGGTCCGATGTTGCCGGTGTCGAAGGTTCTCCAAGAAATTTTGGCAAGCAATAATGGAATTCATGAACGATAAATCACTTCTATTTATGGACACGTCTCTACTTTTAAAGATGGAGTCTAAAATATTCATCACGGTAATATCATGAGTGACAAATAACTCCTAAATTTGGCGCCAAATTTCAGCGTTAATTTTGTATTTTTACATGCGAAATGACATAATCCCCATGGCAACGTTCTCTATATCTCGGTGCCAAGGTGGTGCCCAGGCTCTGGTTGTTCAAAGGTTGAATAGCGCTATCCACCGGATAACTTATTAAAGGCATCCAATTGCGTAGCCTCCTCTGCAGACGTTCTTAGGGGTTCGTCACGCATTCCTTCCCCCACGAAAGGGAAGGGATTGCGTGACAAGCCAAAAGGAGTCCAGTGAATAGCGTTCTCCATATTTTGAACTCCTGGGGCCAGTTTTAAAGAATGTTGCGAATGAAGGTCTCAGAGTACGAAAGAGCACCATTTTTAAAAGCCAGAAGAATGCCAATGGTATTTAAATTTTAGTCTAAAAATAAAGAAGATTGTGAACTTAAAATTATGCTGCAAACTTTTCACTGTGTAGTGTTCTCGATACCAGTCTAAACTGTCCATTGTGTACTATATTTGTCACCCATGATATTAATAGGTAGTCAAATGGCATACTTGTGAATTAGAAAATAGTTTCGAATGTGTTTTCAAAATTCTAATAATTTCCCTCGACTTAATATGGAAAAAATCGTTAGACTTTTGACAAAATGCGCGTGAAAATATTTCCTAATGTCACTCGTCACCATTTGATTACACATAATAATAGTATTTAATACAGTTATAATTAATTAAAACTTATAATTTTAAATGAAAAGAAATTTAATTAATTGATAATTTTTTAGATTTTGTTAAGTAAGTTGGGCCCGTTTCAAACGTCGTGCTACTGCTGTGCCGAACTCAATTGATCGAATTAAATTCGACTTCAGAACGGCAGTAGCGCGACGTTTGAAACCAAGTCGTGCTACTGCCTTGCCGTGCTACACGCAGGGGCACCCAGCGGCAATTTTCGGGAAAATATCTGTTCGGAAGACGATTTGAGATCTAGAATTTTCGAAACATTTGTTGTAAAATTTTTTGCTTGCCTACCTCTCCTAGGATTTTCGAACATCTACAAAATGGTATAATTGCCCATTTTCAACGGATTTTGACCCTAAAAAAGGCCACATTTTTTTTCTAAATCGCATCTTTTCCAAATGGCGTGAAATTTTCGAGAACCGCATCATTTCTTTTTATCCCTATTTTTTTCGGATAAATTTTTGATCTTTAAGTTAAGAAACAAAACAGATGAAAAGTTTTTAGGGGATAAAAATATGCCTATATCTACCGTTTAAATACTAAAATACGTTGAACAATGCTATGTGAAGTGGTTTTGAACTATATCCTCGTTGGGTGCCCATGTACACGGCAGTAGCTCGACTTGGTTTCAAACGTCGTGCAACCGCCATGCCGAACTCAATTCATGAATTATAAATACATCAGAATACATTTTAAAGTGTGTCATTACCCATTAAATTCGACGTCTGAAACCAAGTCGTGCTAGTGTCGTGCTGCTGTCGAGCTACAGTCGAGCCAGCTTAACACGGCAGTAGCACGTTTGAAGCAGGTCTTATTCTAAATTAACCCAAAAATATAGAAGTCAAGTCTTAAGCTGCACCATTATTTATGACTCACAAAACGTCGTCTTGGTATTTATCTGGAAGTATGTAGCTTCAAGTTAAGGCGAATTATGGGATGTGCGGACATTAATGTGTACTCTCTATAAGAATATGAGATTTGCGGTCTTAGCAAGTGCTAATTGAAAGTATCCATTCTAAGGGGAAGGTAATATTGTTCAAGATAGCCATTCCTATCTTGCGTATTACTCGAGCTTTTGTATTTTAATAATTCAACGTTACCAGTCCGGGAGCTATATTTGGCCATGATCCTTCGTAAGGACTTAAACTCCTGGCTGACTCCTGTCCGTATTTTTAATCCTTACTGGGTCTTTGTTATAGCAAGTTGTCCTGTCCAAGGTGTGTTATGTGTAGATAGAACAATTCGACGTATTTGTACTTATCGTTCTATTAAAACGTTAGTTTTGACACTCGTTCTTTTTCTTTTTGTTCTCAGTACAGCCGCTCCTCTGTTCTTTCAGGGGCACCCAACGACAATTTTCGGAAAAATATCTGTTCGGAAGACGATTTGAGATCTAGAATTTTCGGAACATTTGTTGTAAAATTTCTTGCTTGCCTGCCTTTCCTAGGATTTTCGAACATCTTAGAAAAGGTAAAATTGCCCATTTTCAACGGATTTTTACCCTAAAAAGGTCACCTAGAATTTTCGGGAGCCTTTTTCTGAACAGATGAAAAATTTTCGAACAGGTACAAAGTTTTGATCCCTATAATTTTTGGATCACCAGACTTTCAGCATTAGGAAATCCGAACAGATGAAAAATTTATAGGGGACTGTTAAAAATATTTTGCCCATATCCTCCCTAATTGATATAATAAATATGCTAGAGGAATTTAAAAATCGTTGGAGCAGAAGTCCGAAACTAAAAGTCGCTCAAAATTCAGCTGTGAAATTGTTTTGGAATTTCAAAAATAAATTACCATCAGCGAGAAGGAGCCACCAGTTTGAATTTTCGGGACAAGTAAATTCAGTGTTTGCTAATTCTGAAAACAGAAGTCGATTGCCTATCGTGCTATTCTTTAAAAGGTACTGTTCAGTTTTAGAAGCACTATAAATTGCTTCAAAACTTTGCTCTGACTTCGAATGACTTGTTGTCCTTGTTCCTCGACATTTTTAAAATATCCCTTGGCAGTTTGGTTCAAACTCCTGCTGCACACATTTTTGATGTATTGCAATGCATCCTCAACAGCTTTTCCTGCTGTACGTTGTTTCCAATTCAGGAAAAAGGTATTGGGATTGTAAGCTACCTTGTATCAAAGCTCAGATAGAACTGTCCAGCACCTTTGTTTATGACCAGAAAATGAGCACGAGCGGCACTTGTGCGAGGGGAATTCGCACCTCAGCCAGGGGGACGAATGACAATGATGCCCATGTCTGTGAACCGATCTGTATAAACATGTATTGCAGAGCAAAACATAATAATCAAGAAAAATACCCATTCATTGAGGGAAGGAGTGACAAAATTCCAGAGTTGTAAATTTATTCACGGGCAGTATTTTTTGCGATAATTTTATTTTGGACTGTGATGTTATTCGGTTCACAGGCATGGTCATCGATGTCGTTCGTCCCCCTGTGTGAGGTGCGAATTCCACGCAGAACTGCCGCTCGTGCTCATTTTGTAGTCATAAACAAAGGTGCTGGACAGTTCTATCTGAGCTCTGGTACGAGGTAGCGTCCAATCTCAATACTTTTTTTCCTGAGTTGGAAGCAACGAACAGAAGTAAAAGTCGTTGAAAATGCATTGCAATACATCAAAATGTATGCAGCAGGAGTTTGAACCAAAACTGCCATGGGATATTTTAAAAATGTCGAAGAACAAGTAATTCTACCTCAGAGCAAGGTTTGGAGCAATTTATAGTGCTTCTACAACTAAACAGTACCTTTTAAAGAATAGCACGATAGGCAATCGGCTTTTGTTTTAAGAATTAGAAAACGTTGAATTTACCTGTCCCGAAAATTCGAACTGGTGGCTCCTTCCACCTGATAGTAATTTGTCTTTCAAATTCCAAAACTATTTCACGGCTGAATTATGAGCGACTTTTTCTTACAGACTTCTGCTCTAACGATTTTTCTGAAATTTCTCCGGCATATTTATTATATCAATAAAAGCCGATACCACAAATTTCAATCAGCAAAGTTTTTACCAGACGCGATTTTCTTTGATCAATTGGGTCCTTTTAAGCGCTAATTTCTCAAGAAAAATTTACCATCAATGAAATCAGAATATTTCGTGTTATTGCCGAATGATATCTGTTGTTCTTTGCAAAGTTTCGCAGCCATCGCGTTAATAACCAAAAAGTTATGACGGAAAATTTGTCACAGCTAAATGCTCTTGTATTAATTACGGAGCCACCTTAAATACTAAAATACGTTTAACAATGCTATGTTTAAGTGGTTTTGAACTATATTCTCGTTGGGTGCCCCTGTTCTTTACAATGACCTCCACTAATGTGTCTTTCATAAACGTTATTAACAACCATAAACTCATTAAAAGTCCACCATTATCTAATACCCGATTTATGTAGCCGTTAATTGTAAAACCCCAGGAATCTCAACTTATCTACTTGTGCGGCAAAACGCGGCACGTTAAATGATAGGACGCCATCCCGGCCTTTCAGTAATACCTTATTATAGGAAATTAACGCTCCATGAAATTAAGGTATTGGAAATTAACGCGACTTTAATGGAAAACGACTTTCGAATAAAGAAAATTAACGAGAAAGAGGAGGTAGAATTTCATAATAAAGGAAATTTCTGGTGGTGACAACTGGAACAAAATTATTTCAACACTGGATGCAAAAAAATTCAAAACTGAACAAAACTGAGCTGACATCACTTCTGACAGCGACAGCGCAGGGGCACCCAACGACAATTTTCGGAAAATATCTGTTCGGAAGACGATTTCAGATCTAGAATTTTCGGTACATTTTTTGCAAAATTTCTTGCTTGTCTGCCTCTCCTAGAATTTTCGAACATCTAAAAAATGGTATAACTGCCTATTTTTAACGGATTTTTTACCCTAAAAAGGTCACCTACAATTTTCGGAAGCCTTTTTTCTGGCTAAAATTTTCGAAAAGGTACGTTTTGATCCCTATAATTTTCGAATCACTAGACTTTCAGCTAGGAAATCCGAACCGATCAAAAATTTTTAGGGGATAAAAATATGCCTATATTTACCGTTTAAATACTAAAATACGTTTAACAATGCTATGTTTAAGTGGTTTTGAGCTATATTCTCGTTGGGTGCCCCTGACAGCGGTGAAGTTGAACTCGAAATATTGGAAACCTTCGCCTTAGCTTTTGTGAAAGATGAAAAATAAAGGGTAAATGGAAAGAAAGAAAGCCTGAAGTTAATGTTTTTTAGGTGTCAAGAATGTCTGGACAGGTTCCAAAACTGGGGTTTAAATACTGCAATTTAAGAGCGCGGAAATTAACAAAATTAACGCGAATTTTAACGATTCACGTTAATTTCATGGAGCGTTAATTTCCTATAATAAGGTACGTCACATTCATCAAGAGAGGTTGACGTTGATTGTCGTCACGGATTTTGCGAATGATGATAGCAAGCTTTTGACTCTTTAGTCGTTAACAACGGTCTTCTGAAATAAGCCGTTTTGTGAGTTGCATACTGGTAATACCGTGGTTACAGTGTATCTTCGTGGTAACTTCATAAATACCAAACCCGAAAAGAACATTTCCGAGCTTCTTGTTTTTATAAAAGAATTTTGGAGTGGGGAGGCCAGGGGGTGCAGGAGGAAGAGTTTATACCCTTGTTTTTCAGTAATCTGCACATAACTTTTTGTGAACTGCAATTGTTAGTACTCGCAGGATTGAAAGAGTTGAGATTATATGTCCTGTAAGTATTGATCACATCCTTGATCGTGTAGAGATTTGTTGACTACATTACGGGAAGGAGCTATTCTTTACTTTGATTGCGACGGGCTTTGCAACTGTGATTTCAAAGAGAGAACAAAAGGATGAAGCAACTAATCGAGGACTTCAATTTATTGAGGTCTAAAAGCCATGAAAAGCCGATTCACATACTATATTTCATTTTAAGTTACTTTTTACGGAACAAGCAAAATACTATTTTTGTCTTAGAAAAATATCCTAAGATATTAAATTTACGAAAGTCTATAGCTATACATCACGAATTTGATGATTTTCTACAATTTTTTAAGTTCTTACTCCCTTATAAGGGCTTAATGGGGACGTGCGGCCAGCCAGTCAGTTTGTCTTAATCAGGGTATCGGTTTATCAATTTTTGTCTTAAAAAGGATAAATGTCTTAAACAGGGTATCAAAAATCGGAATTCTGTCTTAAACAGGGTAGGAAAATCAGCGATATTTGTCTTAAACAAGGTCAGGGTATGAGGGGCCGCGCCGCACCTCCCTACCCAGGGATATATCGAGTACCCCCCGGGCTTCTACCTCTCCTTACATGCAAAATTCCCTTGTCTATGTGGATAAACACTAACACTTATTAAGATCCTTTAGTAGCTTTTAAACCTTCTTGAATTGAAATAATTCCATTAAATAGGGAAGTAAACAATTATTGAGATAACGATACATGTATATCACAGGCTGAGGTGGGTGACTGAATCGCCCTATGCTAAAGTAATCCAAGACAGTATTGGATTCTGGATCCCAAGTTGTGGATTCCGGACTCCCGGTACTGGATTATGGATTCCTTGTCAGTGGAACTTAGATTCCGGATTCCAAAGCCCAGGATTTTACATTTCACAAGAAAAAAATTCTTAAATCCGTATTTCGTAAAAAATTGAAGAATTTTAGGAGTAAGTGCCCACCCACTACAGGAATTGATTCAAGCATCATGCATGCTGAGATTGCATCCCACCTATAGCCTGTGACAGTTGGCAGTCATTTTGCTGTGTCGAACCATAGCTGCTTATCTTCCCATCTCTTTTCTGGCTATGCTACCTTTTGCAGCAAATCCTTCACTACATGAGCCATGGATATAAACAGGGAAAGGGGGTACAAAGGTATAAAAGCAGTGACCAGGACATGCCAATACCTTTTGCAGATTTGACATTTGCAGTTTTTCAAAGTCTTGTTAGAGAACAAAGAGCTTACATTTGAATATCATTATATTCTAGGGAGTTTGAGTTTTTTGAAGGACTGATTTAACCCAACATTACTTATTCAAAGGGTTCAAACCCTTTCTTGGACCAAGAATCCAGGAATTTTTCATGGAGGCATTGAATCTTTATTTTGAAATTCAAGGACTTCAAATAAAGTGTGTTCAAACTCCTGTTTTAGAGATTTCACAACAACAGTCACATCTCACCATATACTTGAGTCCCCCTCTTCCCTACAGGGTTCTCAATAGATTTTTAAGTAGGAGGTGATCACTAATAAAGTAGGAGGCTCTTCAGCAAAGCCAGAGGTGTCAAAACAAAGCAAAGAAAAGCGACTTTAGCGGCGATCCCGGGTTCCCTATGAGAACCCCCCTATCCCCCACACACCCCTTCCTTGGGAGAGTATAGCATTATGACCCAACCATGCAACCTTGAAAAACTTACAAAAGGACTGTTTTAGTGCATTTAAGTTGTATAAATTAGCCAAGACTAGGGTCAGACTAGATCAAATCTGCCTATCCAGACTGTTTGCTGAATTCTTCTTAAACATCTCCACAAAATCTTTTTAAATAGCTTACTTACATGAAACTCAGCCACAGAGCTTGCTATTGTATCAGACTTGGTATTATTAAATTGTACCATTTTTAAAAACATTTTTATATTGCATTGGGAGATTTTTGAACTTGAGTTCTAAGTAAAGCTGTTTACAGTGCACTGTGGTAAATAAAATAAGAATTAAATAAATAAGATATCATATTTACTTGGTGTTGTAAAATAAATGGACATATTCTTAACAATATTATTGTTGCAAAATTATGCCTTAATTTAGATATTGGCCAATTTTGATCGAAGAGGAGAAGTACCTGATTGGTTATGATAATACTGTGATCAACACTGAAATAAGGATACCCTCCGTGACACTTGGATTAGATTTTTCTCTACTAATCAAAAACTTGCTGTAAAAATAATCACTTAACAGCATAGACACAGACCATTTTGAGAGTCACGTATTGTTTTTTTTTCCCTGCCATTTCGAATTACTTTTACAGCTGTAGGTCCTGATAATTTGGCCATCTTCATCACAGGACTAGAATGAACATTATGTAATTGACAAATATGGAGTGCTATTTCTTTTTCACATTTTTTTCACATTTTCATGTTTTCCACTTTTGTTTCCATTTACAGCTTAAATTCTTCTGTCAGCGTACTCTACCATACTGGGAAACTTTCAAACACTGGCTTAAATTTGATAATTAAATTACTTTTAATTATAGGTTTGTTGCAGGAGAAACCCTAAAAGTCATTGTGCAAACTCCACAAGTAACTCAGTTTTGGAGTTACATTACAATGTAATAATTAAACTAAAAACGTCAAGAACAGCAGCCTGGTTTTTCTCTTTGTGACTCAACATACTGTTCAATATTAAACTTTGGTTCAGAAGGCCTCTTCAAGCTTCGGTGTTTCATGTCCCTTTAAATAGAGAAATGATACAACTGAATATCTCTTTCCACCCAAAAATGAAATCAAACAATAAAACACTTTATCCAATTTGCTAATTCTAAATTAACCTCATGTCACTGCTAACTTGAAAAGAAAGTTCACTAGGAAAACCATAGGGACGAAATTATTAAATGAATAACAGAAAACGTAGTTTAAATACAGCTAAATCCAAATTTTTCGAACCCCCAGTAATCTTTGAAATGTTTTGATAAAGCGATTTTCATATGACCTTGAAAAATGGTTTTCATAAGTGTTTGTTATTTGTTTTATCAGAAAATGGATGAAAAGAACAAAACATGGACTCTTCGTTTTCCACCAAAGAAAACCCTAATATGGAGAAGGCATTGTTCGATTGACCAATCGTGTTGCAGTATGATGTCAAAACGATTTCTAGAAAGTTCTTCGGGCATGAAGTTTATTCAGCCGAGCGTTCGCTTAACCAACCAAAACCTGGGGGGGTTGTATCCGTTCAATAAACCAATCAAACCGCTTTATTTCCGTTCGTTTGTTGTTTTTGTTTTGTTCATGCGTTTTCATTTCAAGGTCATGCGAAAATCGCTCTAAAATTTAAACCCAACCTAGCTTCCCTTCACAAGTCAAACGGTGTAATTTTACCCCCAATTTTTCAAACATTGCAATAACTAAAATTAATTTGCTTTCCAAGTTGATAGGTGGTTGCAAAAATGTAGATTCCACTGAATGTGAATTGAATGTGAATTAATGAAATGAGTGATTAAAGGGTAAGAGCATGAATAATAAACAAGTCAGTGGAGAAAAGAGGCAGATGCGTGAGGTATTGTACAGGAAAGAAAAATCTTGAATGAAGTTTAAGTTAGGGTATAACCAAGGGTTAACACAAAAACCAATAAGAACATGACATTTAGTGTGTGAAATCATATCTTTCGCAATATTATTAATTTATGACTGGGTAATTCACAGGGCTGTTAGCCAGTGCAGAAATGCTTGCACAGTTAGCAATAGCTACAAGCAAATACTTTTTTTAATACACTCAAACTCAAGAAAGCAACCACCTCTCATAAGCAACTCTTTGTTATCCAAAATACCAAGATAAATTCTCCCAAACAAAACAATTAGGAAGTCAGTTCTTATGTGTGTCCACAATCCATAAGCAATCACCAAACAGAGGAAGGTTCAAAAGTAAAGGTGAAGTTAAAGAGTCCCGATTTTACGTCGGTAACTCAAAACAGTCAACTGACTAACAAACCTGAGGCATATGGTGTGCTCATTTTATTGCCCTCTCTCTATCAGTGCTCTGTTTTACGAGTATTTAAAGCTACTTAAAAGTACACGGAAAGGAAAAAAGTTGAAAGAAGGATTTGCGGTCACACCTGAGAATTGATCTTGGGACCTCCCGCAAAGAAGGCCGTGCACTAAACAACTGTGGTAATCCTTCCTCCTCATTCAAATGCTTACATTAGTTTAATTATGAACTCTGATTTGATATTACCTTGCAACAGCCATGAAAGCTAAATCAACATTCAGTCCACTTTTTGCACTAGTTTCCATGAATGCTACATTATGAGTCTGCCACAGAGAGAATGATGAAAGAATATTATTAGTCACTTTAAGCTAGATTTAATCACAAATTATCTCTTATAACCTAGAAATGATACAATGGTTGACATAATATGTTAATTCAGTCAGTACACAGTCCCCCTAAATGGGCGATTCCAGAAAATATCCATACCATACCACAGACGGCTTTAAGGATTTCCGAAGGGGAGGGGGGATTCACGATTATGGAATTCTGAAGGCATGGGGGGGTATTTACGATTTGAAATCCGAACGTATGGGGGAATTCCACAGGTGGGATTTCTGGAGTAGAAAGAGTAGAGTAAGTTCCTGGAAAACGCTATTGTTGTGGACTTTTGTAGTTCGTAAATAAACCACGAACGTATGACCGCCGAAGCAGAAGACAAGCATCGATAGATCAGACACGTGTTTACGCTCATAACTTATAGAAGTGAACAGTAAAACATTGGTTTCACATTTACCTTGATGAATTTCTTGTCACGTGAATAAAAACTGAAAATGTATCTTTTAATACCGCTTGCAAATTTCTTGTTACTCCCGTCCGAAACCGTCCGATAAACAGTAAAAACTCACACCAGTCCCTCACTTCCAAGGACGCCTGTCAGATTAGAACGCTTTTCGTGCGCACTACATGACGTATAAAAGGACGCAACACGACTCGACGGTATATTTGACCGCCAAAAGATTTTAACAGTCTGTTTGAGCTATTTTCCTTTGTAAACGTCAAAACAGCACAAGAAAACAAAGAGGAGTAAAATTACCTTAAGTGGTGTTTATTTTTATAGCCAAATTCGGACTTAAAAAGGAGTTTGCACGGCCTGGCAACTAGCGTAGGTTTTCCTTGTCACTGAAGAGTAAAGCTTGTCACCTGGCGCCGCTAGATCACAGCGTTGAGGAGGCATAAATTCATGTTGGTTTGTTCTTATAGGCATTGCTAAGTCGAAAATGTACTTAAAAAAAACCACGGAAATTCTGAAGGGGAGGGGGGGTTCACGACTATGGAATTCTGAGGGCATGGGGGGGTAGCGCATTTTGGAATTTCCGAAGGCAAGGGGGGGTTAAAACATGGAAGCCGTCCGTGGTTGGGTATGGATATTTTCTGGAATTGCCCAATAACTGCTATAAAAATAAATAACTTCTCCAGATAAAACAGATGACATAATGAAGTTGAGAAATCATTTATTAATGATGGTTAATTAACCAGTTATAGAGGTATCAAATGTCTCTTATAATCGACTGTGCAGACCGCAAGGACATCTTTTGTAAGATCCGGAGACGAGGCGTAAGCTCTTACCCACCTCTCCCTCCCTAATCTCTTATGATCTTTGTGAAGTTAATAATCATATTGTAGTCTTGGCGTTTTTCAGTTTAGTCGCGTTTAGGTTTATTGTCAAGCTATCGATTAGCAGTTTTCTCTTGGCTCAATAAACTTATTTTTGCCCAAACTCGCGTGTCGTCTTGGTAACGTGGGTTGATTGAATGGTTTTAAAGCATGTACCAGTAACCCAAGCTACCGGTAGGTGGTCAAGTCTTATTACATAAAATTGTTCTTTGCATGTCCTCAATTTGCCCCTTGCCAACACTGCTCCCCCCCCCCTCCCCCATGACCCCTCTGGAAATAGGCCACTTCTGAGTTCCAAAACCCCTCACTTTCAAAAAAAAAGGCCAAGTGCAGAACCTTTCTTGTGAAAATGAGCTTAATTTGCATGAAAATGAAAAATCATTTTCATATCAAAGGCCGAGCACTTAGCCTCACCTTGAAACAGAGGCTTGAGGCAACTCGGAAATGACCTATTGAACAATAACTTCATACTTTTTTTAATATATAGGTCTTTATTTAAAGACCCCTTACTTCCTTACGAATTTCCAATCCCATCTGTGGGAGAAGATGAGGGACATTTTTTTACGGCCTCTTTCAGGACCTTAATCCAGGCCCAAAATTTGATATGCCCAGTTCACCCCTGAAATATGTTCAAGGTCGCAGAAGATGATATCAGCCTCAGACAACCTTGAATATCCCTGATACCACAGACACTGAATCTTTGTTTTGTTATACATTTTGTCTTCAAGAAAATGATAAAAAAGAAGCCAGAAGCACATAAGGTACCTACTAAGTACTCCAAGCTGTCTGCAAGGCAAAAGGTGCCTGCAGCTTTGACATAAAGTTCACGTGACATTAAATATCAGTTGCTGCTGTGGTAGCACTGGGTAAGTTGGCAGAGCATTTGATGACACAGTGGGAGATGCCAGGTTCAACTTCCAGGACCACACCTACACTTGGGATATTTAAATAACTGAGGAATGAAGGTACTGCAGTCTTTGCCCCACAAATGACTACTCTTTATGTGGCTGAGATGAACCACATAAAATAGCAGTATCTCCAATAGGAGATGTTCAAATGGTGTTCTTAATTTAAGTACACTTTCTTGTCGATATGGCACTCAAATAAAGTGCTTACAAATATTTGTTTAAGGAATAAGACAGGTTAGTAGTGACCATACCTTAGCAAGCTGTTCCCCTTGCTCTCTGGAAATAACCCTCTGATTTGTCAAATCGGCCTAAAATGATAATGTAAAAATCACATAATGGTACGTGCATACAAGCCCTAGGATTTCAAATCCCATGTTCGAAAACAATTTTTTGGTTCTGTGCCCAGAGATTATGGGAAACCTTCAGCAACAATTTTTTGGTTCCGTGAAAATTCATGGGGACACATCTCCTAAATAATGTTTCCCTTTCTTAAGTCAGACATTTTTTTCTTGGCACTCAAAACCATAAACCAGTAACGCATAATGCATTTTTTGGGAACGACTCAAGATGGTGGACAATAGAAAACTGATAGATGCTAAACATTAATTTTTAGTTTTGTAACTTAAGAACTGCTAACTAGTTAAGTATCTGTGTCGAAAAATAATGAATTTCTGTAAATGGATCCCACGGCTGAAAATGGTACTGGGAAACTATTTTTTGATCCATTATTTTAAGCCCGCAGTAACAACACTATCCTGGAAACTTTCGTTACCGTGAAGTCCTAAGGCTTGTGCATATATTGCTGGGAATTAGCGGTAGATACCGAATTGGACATTCATATTGCAAACTGAGCAAGCCAAGGAAGATATTCTGACTTAAAAAAAGTGTAATTTTACCTTATTTCCAAGCAGCATTATAATGACATCAGATGATGCATATTCATAAATCTCAGATAGCCATGCCTGTCACAAATATAATATTACATCAGAACATTAGAAGTGACATGTGTGTAAAAGAAAAAGAAATCTTACATGGAATGATGAGGGGTATGCATAAACTAATGGCGGCGTACTGGGCCGGGTTCCTTAAAAGATCGTTAAGTTTAACCAAGGATTAAACCAAACTTTAAACATGGTTTTCTTGTGTAGGAACATTAAAATCAAGCCTACAAAATACTGTTGAGCCTTAACTCCAAAGTACAAAAATGATAACACTAAAAATAAAATGTTTATATACTCTAAGCACTACATAAGGGCACTTATCAGCCCTACGTACTGTACAGACTGGAATTTGTCTTGCCAAACAGGAAGGAGCAGCCATTGTGGCTGCTTTATCACACTGTTAGCTCTTGAAAAATAACCAATTATTATCTTGAGAATAACGGAAATACACCATGTAATAAATTAATATATTGATTGTTAGACAAACTCTCCCCAAAGTGAAAAAAAGGGCATTATTTCTGATGTTAGGGTTTGGTGGACTATTATGTTGTTTGTGTTTGTAATCTGAAAAGTTAAAACAAAGTGTAACTTCTTGCAGCACAATCTGCAAAGATGGAAAGGAAATTAAAGTATTATTAATTCTCACCCTGATATTTTCAAAAGAACTTTCACTGGTCACATCATAAAGCAGCAAGAGGGCTGAGGAAATTAAATAATTAACAAATTATGTCAGTTACACAGTATGATTTATAAAAGATTGCAGATCTTGTGTAATTTTGGCACCTCTTGGACCAGTATTGGTTGACACTATCGGCTGCTACTTGGTTGACATGTCAGCTGACATATCGGCTGACTCTTGGTCGTCATATCAGTCAACATATCGACCGATTTGTCGGTCAACACTTGACCAATATGTCAGCTGGTGTGTCAGCTGATATATTGGTTGACACTCGGCCGCATTTCAGCCAAGTGTTTGTTTATTACCATAAAATTCCAAAAATAAGCCCCTCCAAATATAAGCCCCCTAAATGGGTAACGCAAAAAATCCTCCATTACATCGCCCCTCCAAATATAAGCCCCCCGGGGGCTTGAGTACTTGGAAAATTACCCTCAAACACAAAGTAAAACAGAGCAAAAACGGCAAATTTACTTCCAACTGTAAGGCTAGCCAAATCGACTTAGAAATGCAAATTTTCCTCCGTAAATAAGCCCCTCCACATATAGGCCCCTCCAAACATATACTTCTCAAAAAGGGCCTTTGGAAAATATAAGCCCTGGGGCTTATTTTCGGAATTTTACGGTATCTAATTAATGCAAACAGTAATTAATGTCTACCTTGCGAGTCCCTGTAATAAGCATGTGTTATACTACGGAACCTCTCTTGTCCTGCGGTATCCCATATCTGCAAAAATATCAGCATAAAATATATAGGGAATCAGCTGAGACATACAAATACAATAAACTTGCTGTAGAATGTGAAAAATACAGGATATTTGAATATTAGCTACATACATGTAGCTTGTACCAGTATGCAAACAATGTAGGCATGGTGCCATTCACAAAATGAACTCCCATCAATTTTAGAATTAAAAAAATAGAACTGTGTGATTGTACTGTATGCTTGCAGACTGGTTAAGCGACTAGCAAACAAGGTGAACAATGTAGTGAAAATTCTCCAAAAACTATACCACAACTTAAAAGACTGGTGGTGGATCTGAATAGTCTTCAAAGAATTTCACAACAATCTTTGCCTCACTTCTTCGCCTACTTCTTCCTGGACAGCCCATCGCCTTCATTTAAAAGATTTTTCAAATCTACAAGCCCGCAGACTGCATTTGTCACACATCAATGATGAAGTTGCTAATAAAAACGTCCTCTTATGCTTCTGGCTTATTTATGATAATCTTATGATAAGTGGAGCAAATAAGAAGGTGGAAGAAAATAGATTTGCTTTACTTTACTCTCCAAACACCATTCATAGAACATCAGTGACAATCCTTCGAAACTTTAACATAACAATGTAATCAATTAAATTCTACTGAAAAACAGGGACAACCCTAAATGCAAGCATATGCAAAACTACATGCGTTGTAAAAACACTTAAAATGCATAATTTGGAAGTACAAATATCAACTGTCAACGACTCTGAACTCCCTGTGAGCAGCGATTAAACAGTGGAGCGTTTAATAAAGAGCTTTGCAAAGCTCATTCCGCTTTTTAAAATCTCTAGCCAAAAGCTGACATGGATCAAAAATCATGTAGTGGGATTACCATTATAATTAAGTGGTGGAAAATAAACAAAAGAAAAACTAAAAATTAAACATTTCAACATAAATAATCTATAAATAAAAGTTAAGAAGCAGTAAACTTAGTCCATTTATGACTTTTTCACCTGCAATTTAACTCTGGTTCCATCGACATCTACTACCTTGTTCTATCGTCGGGAGAAAAAAACACGATAAAACAAAATTATGCTTGGCGACACGTACTACAACTACCATAAAATCCTCATGTTAATTGTCCATCTGGAAGTATTAAAATTGGAACAAAACAGCGCCATGTATAACTCACTTTGTAATCTATTCCCACAGTTGAAATAAAGGATCCAGACAGAAAAGCTCCATCTTTGAATCTGACTAGCACGCATGTTTTTCCAACGCCAGAATCACCAAGCAACATCACCTAAGGAAAAATTAACAGGTCGAAAATTCGAAGTCAAGAACGCGGTTAAGGATATTTAACCTCTCGTTATTAAATATTCGAGGTGACTCAGCTACTAAACGTCAATTTGTTAAAGTTCTTCAGATACATTAAATGTTCAAAATCTTTAGGCTGTAGCTGAAAGATACACCTGACTAAACATAAGGCAAACTAAACTAAACATGCCATTTGAACCCATTCGTTTAATGACACTAAACGTGTTCAACAGAGCAGATTCGAACGGTGAAATTTTTGAGAGCAGAAGCGAACACACGCAAGTGCATATCCAACCTTCGTGACAAGTATAAACACAAACGCGGAAATTGAGTCAAAGAAATAAATAAAGCAACTTCACAATAATTACTACATAAACGAAACAATAACCAAACAGCTTTGTTATCAAAGATTTATCTCACACAACTACTGTTTAGTGAGAAAAGAATTTTACTAACCTTGCAAGCAACATCGAACGTCTCGCTAACAGGGCGCTTTGAACCATTTTGCACACTCGACATGGCGACTAGTTTCAAAGCTAAGCCCCAAAGTGGAGATCCGGTGTTACCGGTGATATTTCTTTTGTCGATGAAAGCATATATAGGCAGACACGTAACCTCGTATAAACTTTCGGCCGACTGTTGATTGCTGAAGGATCTGCACTCACAAAATACATTTGCATCTCATACTGACGTCATCACCAAGCCTTCCCGCGCAAATCGATTGTTGGCGGGACGGAAATTCCACCAATGCGCGACATCCTACGAAGTACTTCAAGAGTCAACAATAACAACACCCTTCTTGAACGATTTTAAAATAAATGGCTCGGCTACTCTTTTATTTTATCCTTTTAGTCTATTTTACGGGAGTGGTGAGTGTGTACCATCATTGTACCATCCATCCCTGGAAGGCAGAGCGAGACAAAGTTTCCTTATCATGGTAGCTGCGAGTAACTGCTCGTCACGCAATCCTCCCCAGGAACGCGTTAAGATGCCGAGGCGTTGGAGGCTATTAAGGTTATGAAGGAATTCGGAAAAAGGCGTGTTTATAAACAAAGCTTAAAAAATTCGTCTCTCTAGTTTAAATAAACATTCCTAAATTATGCCACAGACTGGCAGACGAGACATACAGCAGGGAAAATGTTTTGAAAAAAAATGAAAGCCACCCTAGCGCCAACACGGGTGATGAGCTTCAAGACAGATTGACGAATGATCTCATTTTAATATAAAGCTAAATTGTCACTTTAAATTTAATTATTAAAATCAATTTCTAATAGAGAAAAAAGGGGAAAAGTGTGAAATCACTAACATGAAGAGGAAGTTTAGAGACTTTGAAAACCTATAATCTATAAATTTGTCCGTTTATATAAACAAGAAACGCCGCTCGGTTTTTCTTTTAACATTGTTCACGAATATCTCTGTGTCTGGATTTGAATGAAACACTCCTACTCGTGTTTAAGAATACATAATAGGGAACACGTAACGACACCGCGAACGAAATTACAACATATATAACAAATCTAGTGTACGGATATAACAAAACTAGTGTACGGAAGGTCGTGGGTTCAATTCCTATCTGGGACAAATGTCATTTCATTTATTATAGATATATATATATATATATAACAAATCGAACGAGCCATGTTGTCGTCCTTATACCCCCCCCCCCCCCCAAAAAAAAAAAAAAAAAAAAAAAAAAAAAACAAGTTCTTATTAAGCTCATCAGTTATGTCATCTTCAACCTAACCGAAGTTATTTAACAGGATTTCACGAGATTTGGTGTTTCAGTAGCCTGCCCCCGCAGACGTTCTTAGGGGTTCGTCACGCATTCCAGCCCGAAAGACGAACCCTAAAGAATGTCTGCGGGGGGAGGCTAGTGTTTCAGAAGATAGCGGGATTATTTCATTCAGCTATTATAGTGACGATTAACTTCAGCGAGTTTTAAAAATGGTCACATTTTTTCGTTAAGCGCTTCGCTACGCGTAGATGCTCATATTTTAAGCCTGGGAGCGAGGTTGGGCAGGGTGATGAATGAAATGAAGATGATCTTATTTGACGGTGTTAATCGTCTCAGTATGCGACTAAATGTTTAAGAGGATTTATTTTAGAGCCGCATTAAGTCGTTTATTCCCTGTCTGCGTGGGTCTTGAAGCAATTAGTGGCGCTAGGAGCCCGTAAGCGTCATGAAATAACGATGTCTCCGAACAAGAATGGCGAATACCCTGGTCCCACAATTTTTTTTAAATTGTTCCCGGCTTCGCGAAGGAGAGGACCGAGCTGCGAAGCGGCGATAATTGTCGCCTCTGGGAAAGAATCCCCGCTATTTTGAAACTGCTGAAGTGCAGTGTCAAGTGTGATGTCACAAATATTATAATTTTTAACATTCATATGGGATTGGCGATCTTTAGAGAGAACAAGACCAAAAGTGCTTCCTTGCCAAAATCAACATGGACGGGTAAATCACTGGCAAATTGGGTCTGAGACATTAGCACTGATTTGCTCTGATGCCTCCATAAGAGTCCTAACACTTAATCTGACTTGGGCCAAAACGTCAAATTTCTTCAAACGGTATGGCACTGCCTCGTCCCCGAGTCGCTCACGATCACTTTTTGGGGGATATTTGAGTTAATTGTTGTTTCTCGCTTTCTTCTGTCGCGCGCTTAGCCTTGGGAAAGCCTTTGGAGAAGGCTGTGCATGGCACAGCCGAATGAATGCAAGTGCTTATAAGCGTCAACAATCCGTGTTAATCGGAAAATAACAGTTCTTTATATTCTCTAACGGCTAGCTCTTCGAAATTTTATTTCCCAAGTTTCGTAGCTTTGAAACTGTGAGTTGTTCCCGTGTAAGAGGCTGCCTGTTTTGTATTCGCCATTTTAGAAACGAGGAAACTTGGTCGAGTTAGCTTCCGCAAAGACTTCTGGGACGGGGAAAAGAAATTGGCCAATAGCTGAATACCACGTCCAAACTAACGATCCCAGAAGCCTTTGCGAAAACTTACCCGGCCCAGTAATGGATCTTAGCTTTGTCCGTACAAAGGTCCGACGGCTTAGTCAAGCTGATGAGCCCCAACAAGGGCGAAACAGCTGTCCATGGCTGCCACTGCCAAGGTGATGGTTGTGTGCATGTGTAAGGCACTGGCCATATCGCGGAGTTGGTACGCCGGTGTGCGTCAGAGCTTAAATTGGTATTGTTACAGTGATATGGGCATCCCCGTGTTTTGGGCATCCCCATTCCCAAAACCCTAGTGATATGGGCATCCTCTGTAACCCTAGACCCTAAACCAAATGGCTAAGGTAATATGAGAAGGAGATGCCCCTATCACTCACGCTGTGAAAGGGAATTGCTTTCCGCATGTTTTTTCTTCCCTCTCTTCCTTCCTCCCATCCTTCCCTAGACTGCAAAACAGTCCGTATTTTTGCGTATTCAAGTACGCGAGAGCAGTCAAACAAAAGGTCTTGAAACGAGGCTGAAAACAGAGAGCGAGACTGGGGAGGGGTGTGTAAGGCTCGCGCGCTTCGCGCGCATAAGACTCTTACGCCATGCTTTACCGATTTCTTTACTGATTTTGACAAAAAAACCGACTGTTTTGCAGTCTAATCCTACCCCGCTAAAAAAAACCCTCACAATTGTTAAAACAATTAAAAAGTTCGACAATAACCATGTCAATATTCATTTAAACTTTTCTTATTTCTAGGTTTCTTTGAGAAAGGTGTAACTTTTAAAACCTCATTTCAATGACTGCCTAAACTATGTACAGCAAGGGATCGGCTGAATCACGAGAAACTGACTCGTGTGTTACGTTACCAGTCCTGAGCTATGGTAGCAAATGGATCACGCCCTACTTTCAACTTTATTACACTCAAATAGGACCCATGGGATTCGCTGTTTTCCCATTTTCGTTCTAGCATTTCTAGGGAAAGAATCGCTGATACTCAATTATTAGTTACTTAGGAGACAGTGTACAATACTGAACATCTCTACTCTCACTTGATGTACTTTAGTGTTCAGACGGGTAAGCGTCAGTGTTTGATTGGCTACGCAAACTAAACAAGAACGAAAACATGAGTTGTCCTGTAAAAAGCACTACATTCAACGGATACGGAAAGAAGGCTATCTTCAGTCAGGTTTTAAAAACAACAAATTTCTGCCACAAGTCCACTCAGCAACATTTCCTGAGGTGCAGGAACAGCACAATCTGTAGAGAAGCTATTCTGTTTTTCTTGTTTCCCGTTTCTCTTCAACGTAGCCAGCTATGGCTCAAGGCCCACGACCGTCTCAGGACCTTTGGAAATCTTGGCGTAGCCCCGACAAAGCTCATTGACATCCACGACAAGTGAAAAGCAAGCTTTAAAGTTCCAATTCTTCGATGGTGTAAAGTCCAACTTTATCACTCTTGGGCAAAGGTTTTCTTTTCTTAATGTGCTCTAACAAGTTTTCGAGAATACGTAGCTTGCCGTAAGTTTTAATCTACAGAAAAAATAAAAGTATGTGAATACGTACAGTACTGTTTACACTAGTCCGAACAAATTTTCGCCAGGGTCAGCATTGAAATGGCTTTGTTTGCAAAGTTTTTCAATTGAAAATATTTTGAGTGAATAATTTGGCCGAGGCGGACCTGAATTCTCTCCGAGATCTGCATAATTCTTTACACTATACAAAAGACAAATATTCTATAATTACTCTAACTATCAATTACCGGTATATAATCTTTAATCAGTTACTTGCCTATAACATAGGCTAATCGTGGCAATGGCTGATCATAATTAGCCAGACAGTAGGTGATGACAGACAGCTTTTCAAGGGAAAGCAACTAAATCAAGAATTTGCTAGTGGTCTTACCAGTTTGCTGGAAGAAAAACATCTGTAATAAAACTTTGCTAGTGGAACAAAAAGTTAACTTCGAGCCCTCGAGACTGACATTCTCTCTTGTCGAGATTGAGTAGCACAAATGAGGGCGATTGTAACGAGACAAAAACAAAAAAAAAGAGTTTGATGTTCGTGTACCTGTTGAGCCACAATCTTGTGACAGCTGACCAGTAATTCGTGGGCTTCAGGGGTTATCACCAGCTGAGTGTAATGAGCATTTAACAGTAATCCCGCCCAGTCCAATACCTAAAATACAAGTACAGCATAATTATTCAGTGAAAACAGAAGCATGTGTGCTACAGTGAAAACTGGTTTATTCAAATTATCACGACAGTAACTAAGATCTCCAGGATCACCAACTTTTTTAAATTAGGTTTCCGCAGATTTCTGCGGATCACGATCATAAATGACGTAAAAAGTCTACCTGTGGATATCTTAGCCTCTCGCAGTCCATTTCACCTTGAAAGTTATTCAAACCACCGTCCATAAGATACAGAAGGAACTTCATTAACAACTGCGCGAAAGGAAGAAAAGAAGTTTTCTATCAATAAGTAGCCCAATAACCCTCCCAAGTTAACAAACTAATTAAATGACAGTCGGGGTCATTTCGGGGGCTACACAGTACTTTCCTGTGACTGGCACTGTTTATATTCGGGAACAAAGAGGATTACTTTGAGTCTGTGAACGAAATGCTTAAGGCTGAGCATTCGAATAAAAGTTAATGGGCAATACTTTCATATGGCTCATTACTATGTTCTTACAGTGATTATTACAAAAGACCGTGTTGTTCTTTCCAGTGGTGATATATACGTCTCTGCCACAGATGGAAAAACTTTGTTGTACTGGCTTAGGTGTTCAAAAGCTGGATAACGCTATCCACTGGATAATCTCTATCCACCGGACAGCGCAAACAGTTTCCTTGATGCGGCGTACCCACTGCGGCGGGATAGTGATTTACACGGTGGATAGCGAAACAATGCACCAACATTTGAACAAGTCAGGCCTGATCTTAGCAAGTGATGAAACGGAACCACCGATTTTGGTGTTTTTGGACGCATTTGAGCGAAGTGGACCACACCGTGACTTCTTCTGTTTAAGGCAACAAATAAAAGATATAACATGCGAAAGAATTTTAAAAAAAATTCGGTGATACAAACTAACATTGATAAAATACTTACAACAGCGTCTTCAAAGGACAGCTGCTTTAAGCATGGGAGAAGGAAAACGTTGTTTACAGGGTAACTTAATATCGATGATCTTGCAAATAGTTAAGGACTAAAGATCTGAACAGGCAAATAAGAGTCTCCAAATATAAAATAAAATTTCAACTAAAAATTGCATTAAGACAATACATAATTATAGTGCTAAAAGATGAAATTAGCTTTGAATTAACACCAAAACTGGTTCACTTTATTTCAATTACTGTATGCCGCAAATTTCAGGATACAAATACTTGGCAGTTGTCTTGCCCAAAGGCATCTTATGAACATCGTCTTCGGTCTGTAGTCCATCCAGGTCGTTTTCCTTCGAAGAGGACTCTATTCTAATAGGAAATGGATTAAAATTTTATCCTGCCAACAAGCAGACTAGGAAAGTTAGCAACGGGGTGGGAAAACTATAACACGTGTTTGGATTCAGTAAGTAGGAACCAGGTCCGTGTGTATCTTGCAAGAATCCTGCATGATATTGATTTTTTAACCGTGCTTTCGTATCCATAGATGGATAAATGCATTTCCTAAAAATAAATCCCGTTTACAACGTTTTGGTTGTTGTTGTTGTTGTTTTTTATGAACGTCCCCCAGAAAAGGGAGATTCAGTACAGTCTACTATCCGTAAAACATTTTTCGGTATTCGGTACTTACGCTCCCAAAGAAACAATGAAATATCCTTAGCTTTTTAGCTTTCCACGGAACATGCTAACGAGCATACTCGACTAGATCTGTCTTGTAGCTTTTATCCACTTTTCATACATTGGCTAATTTTATTCTCAATACCTGAAAGTAGCAGTAGCCTGCGAGAGAAGTAGACTCTATAAAGTTTGAGAAAAGAGGAACCACAAACCTCAGCACGTGACGTAAGCACACAACAACTGAATCCTCAGAAATTCCTTTGATATTCTCGAAGCATTCTTTGAGTAGATCCTACAAAATAAATAATAAAGTAATTACGGTTTCCCAGCATGGACAATTGGCAAGGGATTACATACCAGCCAACCAAAATAGCCGAGACTACAACCACCAGTTGACGACAAGCTTCAGATACAACAAGAGGCAGAATTACCTACGTGAAGAGCACAACAAAGAAGATCAAAAGAGTGATAAGTTCATACGGCATTAGCACATGCCTAAAGCTACCAAGACAACCCCGTGAAAGCCTGAAGATCGATTGAAACCGTTACAACTCGGACAGTGTTGCAGTGGAGGAGACGGAATTGTGGAATGTATCAAAAGATGTATCATTCTTTTAGACACGTTTGTCAGAACACATACACACAAAACGATGCCGGCACCTCCTTAGAAGTATCTAAGTAGACACATTCAGACATAGACAAACCAGAGCACGATGTTGACATATTCGGAAAGAGATCCAGACTGGTTCACCAGGGAAGTTCCACGAGCGGCAATTTATATCAGTACCAACAGTCCAACTCTGATAAGCGTCCCGGACTAAACTAATCAGGTCACAAATCGCGAGACATGCTCTACTATGAACAAGGCTGTGGCTGGGCCGGAAGCTAAGCATTTTCTCTCTGCTTGTGTAAGTGACGAAAAATATGATAATCAAGTTTAAAAGACGAACACAATTCACTACACCGCCAGAAAAATAAAACTTGCAGTTACATGTCTCAACTTAGAGGTTAATAGATATAACTACGATGTGGATCAATTTTATCCTTGGTTAAATTTCTATTTTCTCTTGTTTCAAACTCAAATTTCATACATTACCAGACCCCAAAACAAAAGAAAATAAAAATCAAACCAAAGATAAAATTGAACCACAACATCTCCAATTTTAGTGGATAACACATAAATTCTGACTAGGATTGCTTTCTTGTATCCATTCTTACGAAGCGTACTCTGTCTAAGATTGTACACGGGTTTGACATTTTCTCAATTCTCATATCAATTCTGTATCAAATGCAAAGGATAAGTCTAGATGTTTCTTTTCATTTGCTCACCAGATCATTTTTTTCCACAACACAATTCAGTAGGTCTTTACTGCAACTAAAACAAGATGAAATAACAGAAATCTTTGACATAATATACATGATATACATATTTATTATATAGACACGAGTGTTTTACTGGAAAATATACCACTCGTAAAATTCATAAAAACTACATCCGGGACCCTAGTGGTTTATTTTCCATAATCTCACACGTGAGTTTACACCACAGCTGCAACATCCGGTAAACAGCTATTTCGAGAAAGGTTGTGGGAAAAAATGTGCACGCGAGAATCCCGAAAGGTAATATGGGATATGATCAATACACTATTCCTGATACTGAAGCTGTCGAACCTGCTTTTGTTGCTTTCCTTTAACACTCGCAAACATACAACTATGGCCTCTCGTGCCATTCTTACCCACAATACCTTTCGGGATTGTCGCGTGCACTTTTTCCGACAACCTTTCTCGAAAGAGCTGTATAAACAACGCACAACCCACAATAACCTGATTTACTCTGACGAGGGACCAGTAAAACAGGTTTTAAGTCTTTCAGCACTAACCTGGCAGGAACACATTTGGTTTTAAGAAGTTCAGACACACACTCCCGAGGCCAAAAGCTCTTTTCACTGATACATCTGCACAGAACAGCAGATATAAAATGCTGAGATAACACTTCTGTTTTCTTGCCGAACTAACCAGAAGATAAAAGCTTGAAATCAGTAATAGATAAACCAAGCAGTAACGAACGGACACGTAGACCGATAACTGGATGAACTACAAAACGCCGGATGAGCTACGACATTCATGCTTTTTAAGCATTTTAGACTGAAGGCAACTAACGGTATAGCCTGCATAACAGGCGTTATTTTATCGCATTTGTAAGGCGAGCGAAGCAAGCGTGCGTCAGACATAGAGCGCGAGAAACGTGCGTGTCTGGCGCTCTTCGCTCGCTTCGCGGCTGTCTTCGCTAGCTTAAAAAACGCGAAAAAATAACGTTAAGTTTCCGCATATTTTTACAAGTAAAACATCCGTAATATAGCGGAAGCCATGACATGTAGTTTAAGTCAGAATTTTTCGGTAACTTTTAACGCTCGTTTTTACTAAAAACCACCATCAACAGTAAGCAAAGAGAAAATACTTAAGACAGCAGCGTATTGACCTACCTTTCCATGAAATGTTGTCCCTGGTTTGCTTTTGTTATCTACAAAATTTGATCGGAAAAACAATTACACTATGTCTAGTTTTAACATTTGCTTTGTCTATTTTTCGTGTGTTTTTATACTTAAGGTGAACAAGGGTGGCGCAGCAATGAGCGCAGTCGCCTTCCACGAATATGGCCTAAGTTCCAATCCCATAGGCGACGCCATAATGTAAGTTTAATTTGATGCTGGTTCTCCTCTTTAGGGGCCGTTTCTCAAAAGTTACGATAATGAACAGGGTTCGGAAAGTCGTATCAAGTTTGCCGTGTTTACATTCAACCTCAAGGCTTTAACAGTTTCAAAAAAGATACAGTAAATGTATCAGTTGACAAAACAAAATGGCCGGATTTGTTTGGAAGCTTAGATGCTCCCTGCTGTGCACTAAGTTTTTCAGTGATTTAAAAGATACTACTTCGAGCCCCAAAACTTACCGGGACTTTCAAGAAACGGACTCCTCCAAAGGGTTTTCCTACAAGTACTCCGTTCATCCCCTTTCCTCAAAAACGAAAACTAATTTGATTCTGAATCAATGGCAGACGAAGAATCACTTTCTGGATAATCATTGATACATGTATCTATCTAATTACCGTATCTATTTATTCATTTATTACTTTTTTTTTCAGGTGAAAAGGTAAAAGCGAAGAGACAACGACGAACCAGGGGTTAGACGACGGCAGAAAAAAACGTATCAAGCGTATCAAAGAAAATGAATTTTCGATCCTTCAAACACCATTGCGATCATGACAAATTATGGCGAATTTCCTGGATTTGGAAGGGATCACTTCCAATTTCAAAAAGAAAAGATTAAGTTTGTTGTGGTGTGTTTACGTCCTCCACAAAACATGGCAAAAGGAAATTTCACGTCGTTGTTGGGCAGAATACGTCGAAGGGAGATACCAAAAACTGGATGCACGTGCATGGCTGTTTTATGTTGTTGTTGTTGTTTAAGGCAAAAAAACTCCCTTATAATATGTGAGCGTGTTTAATTTTGAAATTTCATTTGTACACACCTTTCTTGGAAAGCTTTACTGTCATGTAATTTTTCAGCTCTGAAGAAAACGCTTCTAGCGTTGGCGTCTGAAAATAAAGATTGAAAGAGAGAAAAAGAAATGATTATTTTCTCATACTATAAAGTCAATATTTTCGTGATTCAAAACAAATGTAGGAAACGACTTCCATGTCTGTAGGATGGGATACACTTCAGTCGTTTATTCAAATCTTTACTCACTTTCAGACCCAATTCTCTGACTTTTTTGGACCTTATTTTTGAAATTTCTCCATAACTAGTCACAATGGCAGCCACTGATACATGTACCTATTTCCCTAAAAGATATGACTAATCGGTTTCCAGGAACGGGGGCCAGGCCTCGGTATAATTATATCATTTAATCTCATGATCATCAGGCTGCTGTCGTTCCATGCCCACTTTTTAGCTCATTTGAGGTAGACAGAACCTGTTAGCGTTTTTATATACAAGTATAAGATCAAATCACTTCCCCAACCTCCTCTCTCTTATTAATAAGAAAGGTAAAAATTGTACCTGTAATGGATCAGTGAGCTTCTTAAGCACTTCTTTCTCTAATTCATCTTCTTTTCTCATTGTCTCTGACCAATTTTGAAGCGCCTGCACAAATAAGATTCAGTAAACGAGATCATCGCAGTTAACAGATCATCCCTAAAGCTGAGAGATCAATAATCTGTTCTTACCTCGCCTGGTCTTGCTAGCTTTAGAGTTACAAGAAGCTGAGGCTTACAACTCTCATCTTCAAGAAACCTACAAAGACATGAAACAAAGTTTGAAATAAAACTCATGTAGAGAATGATACCTTAAAATCAAATAGGCCACTTCGACAAATACAATAACATACTCAAATTCCAATTTGAGAGAATTTTTTTGCATTAGCCTTTCACGGTTTTCATTAAGAATTCTAGTACCAGGAGAAAAGTGTAACGTTACAGGAGAAAATTTTGAAAGAGGCTCCACATCTGAATATAATTAGTCATAAGCTACCAAACGCTTGCCGGAGAATTATGCATAGTAAAGGAGAACTCGCCGATCTCCGATGCCTAATGACCACCCTGGCCTATTGAGTGAACCTCTATCAAGCGGAGAACCTCTATTAAGGGGTCACTTACCAAAGTCCTGCAAGTAATATCCCTTAATTACTTTAAAAATGAGCTGTATTAAGTGGCCACAGTCACCTTTTCCGAGGTCCCAATGAGTTTTTTGTTTCTGTTTTCACCTTTGTTAAACAGTGACTTTGACAAGATGTACAGTGTACCATACTATCATGGCGTGATGGGAAAGAAATTTTGCTCTTTGATCATCTTCATTTTGTTGAGTAACTATTACGCTTGTTAAACCTGTATTACATGGTCAATAAGCCATTCCCTAAGTAGCACCATTTAATACTGATTTGACTGTACAATATATATTGATCTTTATGTTAAATTTACTGTACTCACTTTGCGGTGGAATCTAACTGTCCAAGAGCTGAAGCTAATGAGCATGCATCCAAAGAGAATTGACAAACAGCCACACAGTGATGAAAGCCAGTGCAGATGAATCCAGGAATATAATGTACACAGCATGCCCCATCAGACCCAACTGGTCGTGGAATGGAATGCTGTTTAGTTGTTATTTTGTCCAGAGTTTGCCAAGACTGCAAAGTTCCATACTTGACGTTCCAAACCATTATTAGGTCTAAGATAAATAAGGCAAAAATACTTTTTTCGTAAAATTTTAAAGTAAATGGTGTTATCACAGTTAATGTCCAACTATATGACGCCAAAGAAGGCATTAGTAGACAAGAATGGACAAACATAAGCTACATTGTACATGTATTTATACTTCATATTAAACTAAACATTGAAGTATAGTTAAGGTATTTTTTACCCTTAAGGTTGCCATCAATGACACTGCTTCCACAGAGACAAACATGGTCATTATCAATAGATGACAAGGCAACTGCACCCTGTGTAAAAAAGTTACAGAGATCAACGATGCCTAAGCAATACAAAATTTTTAAGACATTAGTTTCATAGAAGGAAAGAAATACTTTGGTTGGTAATGCCTAAGAAATCCTCCTTTCTTTTGACTACATTTAACCAAAGAAAAATCTACAAAGAAAACTAAGGCTAATCAAAACAGAAACAAGTGACAAACACCAAGGAAAAAATTTACCCTGTCTTTACTTGAGCCAGTATGTAGAGGATGTAATCTGTGAAGTATTCTGCAGCTAAGTGAAGGCTTCTTTGTGTCTAACTGCATTTTCTGTGGATTTAGCACTGTTTCTATTTCTGTGACACAGAGTGAACCATCAGACCCTGTTTATAAGGAAAAACAAAAAATTACATTCAGAAAGACAACCCCAGGAGATATCTCATTAAGCTTATAAAAATTTTCAGAAATTTCAGTTGATATATAAATGGGACGCTGTGGTCCAGGCACAAATTTTACAGAAAAAGTGGTGAGAAGTCTCCAGAAGAGTACAGCACTTAGTGCCTAAAATAAACCATCAACTATTATTTTTGCAATAATTCATACTATTTGACTGTATCTTGTTCTGGCAAATGAATAAACTGAAACTGCAACTGTTTAAACTTACCATCTCCAGCAAGGGCGATAAGACCTTGAATTTATCAATAATTTTACGACTACTTAATTATATTAACCCATTCGCTCCTGGAGATTTTGCCGAAAAACGCGTTTTGAAGCTAGTCGAGTGGTTTTCTGGTCACTGTTGTGCTATAAAGAGCTAAAACTTACCACAAACCGGTTTACAGGTCGTACACTTCGCGGCCTCGTGATCCAGGTGCAAAATATCGGCTTGCGAAGTTCAGGCATGCGCAGTAAGCAAAATTTCGAGATAGTTTTGGGGTTTAAAAGTGACACAGCAGTCTTGACTTTTACTTTTCGCTTTCTCTCCTCCCTTCTTGCCTCATTTCTTCTTGCCTCATTTTTTTTTCTCTTGCTGGGCATTTAGTAGGCTTCATTTTGGTGGGAAGAGTTTTTAGGAAAGCTTTTAGAATCTTAGGATTAGGTGAAAGCAAAGGTAGGTGAGCAATGGAACAAGATTTTCATGGAGATTTTCAGGTCAATGTCACGTGGTTTTTTGATTCTTTCTCCGGTGTCCTTGACTGAATTGTGCTCATTCTGGTATGGTTTGAAGATCTCTTCACTCTGCACAAGTTAGCCAAGAAAGTTGTCCTTGACCGTAAAAACTGATGACGTCACAAAGGGTAGAAAGGACCTGGATCCGCACGGGTGGTTACGGGCGGTTCAGGGGCGAATGGGTTAATAGAAATAATAATTATAATCATTAATTATTGAACTCACAGTAAGATGTGATATGATGTCCTTCATCACAGATGCAACAGGCCAGAAGTTGGATTTCCTGTTATTAATAATTAAAAATACATTCACTGTATTTCACTTTGGGAAAAAAAAAATTGGGTTTAGATACATGTATTATTAGCCCTACAAGTTGCAAATGGACATGACTTGCAATGTTTTCACCAAAACAACCATATTGCATGAAGCTAGATCCCGGACAACACATAACCTTTGTACCAATAACTGCGGCATAAACATTGCAGACAGGTTCACTTCATTTGACTTTAAAGGTAAGGTGAGATATACTAGTCAAGATCTTGTGCAACTTGTTTTGCAGTGGTGCAACTACATTGCAAGCATAGTTGCAAAAGTTATTGAATGGTGCAAACAAAAAAAAATGAAAGTGTAAATAAAAATCACTTTATCATCCACTCTCATCCCGTCAGGGGGTTTTCAGGGATAATAATTTACAACACTGGTTAGGGCCTGCGGTTTATTGTGCGTATCCCAGAAGCATAGAAAGTCTAACCATCTGCACATGTCATAGTCTGCTCCACAGACATTCTTTGTGGCGTCACGTCCTTCTTCCATTCTAAGCAGCCGATTGTGGGGAGGAGTGTTACGTGACAACACAAAAAACGGGCATGACGCAGACTACACATATCATTCCAAAGGCAGCACCTTCTAAGTGTTGTTTTGGCCAAAGTTTCAACCAGCGGCCTCCTGCTTGGGAGACTGGTGCTTATCCAATTAAGCTAACCGGGCAATCTTAAGATAGCTAGCAGTTAAAACTGCACTTGCTCCATGCTCTAGCCTGACAAAATAATTTGAACAGCACTTTTTTGTCTATGAGTTGATAAAAATGATTACGTTGAACATAACTACATGCTCATAACATACACAAGTTGTAAACAAGATATCACCTGCATATTTACCTCTACTGGAGATATTAATTCAAACTCTACTTGCTTGTTCTCTTGTTGACATGATGTGCTATGATTAGTTATCTTTATAATGTACTTGTCCTTATCCTAAAACAATAAAAACAAACATTACATGTCATTTGGAAAAATGATTATTCAGAGCTCAAAGGCAACGTAATTTACAGAATAGATGTGGGTGGTAAGTGGGGTGCAGAATTGCCGGTAATCTGAAATGATGCATTTAATACTATTAAATCACAGTACATGTATGTAAATACTATCATTTACATAGATTTATTTATTTATATTTACAAGTCAGTAGTGATGGGTGATTGCATCTCTTAAATTGTTACTTGAAATAAGTTAAAAGTGTGGTAACTCAAAAAACAATTTTGAGACCAAAAACCAGTCCATGTTGACAATTCACAAATAGAAGCAGTAGAATTATTTTTATTAATGAAAAGTCAAGTGGTAGCAATGTTGATTATCAGCATGCTAACAACAAAACAATAAGAAAAAAGTGTAGGTCAAAGAAGAAGATTCTGAATTCAAACCAAGCGGTACCAAAATGTTCAAATACTTGAGCCCTTTACAATTTCAGATAGGAGCCATGTAGCCTTTATTGGTCATATATAAAAAAGAGCACAACAAAAAATAAAGGTTAAAGTGGGAATATATCAATAGTATCATTAAAAAACCCACCCAACAGCCAACACACATGAGGATGTGATGCATAAGCTGGTATCCATCATGTACAAAATCAATGAATAAACAAACAAAACTTATACTGTTTGATACCCACATGTACTATTAACCCAGAATATGGCTGATTCTGATAACTGAAAACACAGCTCCAAAGAATTCTAAAACTGAAAAGTAGAGTTGAAACCTGTAAGTACTTGGATGTTGACTTTGAACACAGCAATTTTAATGACAATGTAACAACAAGAAATAGAAATCTCTCCTTTAATAAAACCATCACAATTTATTAGGTATAGGCAACTCTGTTGAAACACTTGTAACCAAATTTTTCATGGCCTAATGGTGGATGTACAGTGTAATAGCAAGGTTCCACTGAGTACATGTATAACAACCTGAGAATTTTAGAAAGCACATGAGTTGTGAGAGAACAGCTCCCCTTTATATAGACATACATGTAGGGTAGTAATTAAGTAACAAACAGTTGCAAACCTTATGCAGTGAATTTGAAGTTCTTGGATGCAAATATATCTTAGCACTGCACCACAAATCACATATTAACAAATCTCTTAATTACAGGCTTACTGATACACACATTTCCACAGAAGTTTTATTTTTATTATGGAACATAAAACACGTGAAGTCAGTTACATATATTATGTTTCCAGTTTATTAAAACAAAAGATATTAATTTGAGCTTACTCTTGTGTAGATTCCATGGTCCTGTGTCTTTTCACTCTTTTTCTTTCACTAGCACTAACAATCTCTGCTAAAAATTTTGAAGAACCATCTTCAAACATAATAAGTGGATCATGTTGCAAGCTATTCCACACAAGCAGACTGAATATTTCTTTCTCTGTCTACAATTAAAAAATAAAAAGCAACTAAGTTGATTGAATAATAACTTTCTAAAGAGTCTCATTAACAAATAATAATATTATTAATTTTGGATCAACACAGATGGATTTTGTGTTTTCCAGTTCTGCCTTCACCATTTCACACTTAACAAGGCAGCATATCTACAGCAGTAAGTGGTCAGTGATACAACTAGACTGCAAGCATTGTTCATATAAGGTGATTGGCACAATCCCAAAGAGGAAGAAAAAAAAGTTAGCCATTGAATACAGACATCTCTCCTCTTTTCTCACAAATATAGGGACGTTTCGCAGGACCTCAACAACAGAATCCATTCAACATAGTGTTCAAACATAGTTTTTAAATGCCATACTTTGCCTGTACCCCCCTTCCCCACCCGCACAGCTGTCTGAACACTGATCTATCTGTATAACGTTCAAGCTATTGTTTACGAATGACAAAACATCACAAAAAGGTCACAAAGGTCAAATTTAAACACAATGAATCAACTACATCCTGTACCAAACAATTATTATTCATAGAATATATTCCTCTATAGAAAAAGCATTTAAGTTTTGTTTCAGCTTGTTTGCAGAGGAACTCAAAACTTTACCACAATAGACCAGCGGAACTATAAAATCAAACAAATTTACATTTGGAACCTCATGACTACCAGATTTATAACGTACATGTAATAAAAAGTACTTACTTGGAATCTTTGACATTTCTTAAAATCAGAATCAGATTCTTTCCACATAAAAAGTTCCTGCAAAAAAAGTATTCCTCAAGTTAACTCTGTGGACTGTGATCCACATAAGCTAAATTCTTTAAGGGAAACTTCTCAAACCTCAACGTACCTTATTTCAATGAGGTAAATGAAAAATAATAATCAATGATGCGCAAATACGTTCAGAGAGAGAGAGAGAGAGAGACTTATCATCATCATCATCAAATTATTTTCTGCTTACCGTTTTGTTTACAGCGACTAAGAAATTTGCATCGATTGGATTGTGAACAGCAGGACAAGTTACTTCCTCTCTTTGCTCCACAGACCAGCTATTAATAAGCTTCTGGTGCTGAAGCTGTGAAAGAAAATCAATGTACAATAACGGCTTGAGAACCTACAAGAATCAATGCAATCAAGAGAGTTCATAATAGTATTATACAGTAGAACCTCGATAACTCGAACTCGGATAACTCGAATTCCCCGCTAACTCGAACTAAATTTCCTTTCCCTTAATCAAAATTGCACTGAAATTTATCCCAATAACTCGAATTCCCTGCTAACTCGAACTGTTTTTCGTTTCCCTACCGGGGTAACTTCTACTGTACCTTCCGGCCTAAAATGCTTACTCATTACTCACATTATAAACAAGGACTCCTCTGTCTCTAAAAGTTAGAACTACATGATCATCGTCAACATGTCTGGCGATTCCAATTAATGAACCGGTCTGTAAAACTTTACATAGCTCGAAAGGCTCTCGCAGGTCCGCCATTTTGCCATGTGGTTTGCGAGCCCGCAGCGTTGGTCAGAGAATTCCTTGTGGTAAGTTATGCGTTGCGCACTAGCGCGCGCCTCAAGGGAATCTCAGGGAATCTCCTTTCTTTCCTTCCAGTCTGATGTCTCTAAAATTCGATTGTAGTCGCGTTAGAAAAACAAATTTGATAGTTATCTTCTGTACCTTACTTTTAGTATGTTTTAAATTTTGTCTTTCCTATGAAGAACGGAAAGGCTCATGTGGAAACGTGGTTGTACAGAGAGGTCGAAACAAGCCAGGATTCCATAGGTAAATTTGTGCTTACTGATTTGTGCTCTATCTGCTCAAACTGTGAACTATGCATGCCTCCTACTGACTTTGCTGCTTACATACTCGACGTGATCTTTCCAAGAAAGGTTCTAATCTAAAACAACACCTAAATAGCTAAATTTAGCTACTCTCTCTAAAGTCTTTCCGTATAACTGTATACAAAAATTTGGTGATTTGGCAAGATTCTTAATAATAGGTTCAATTGGCCCCCAGCTATCATCAACTATCATTGACTATCGCGCGCTTTGAATGTGTTTAAGTATCACATGATAGTTGTTTAAAATTTTTCCCTTTCGTGTTTTACCTGATGGGCTCAGCATGACCTTTAGCGCACAAAATGGCAGAAAAGAAAGATGGAGCAGTGTTGTTAAGTGCAGAGGGAATATTAAGCAAGTCAGGTAATGAGACACGTCAAATTACTAAAAAAGACAGGAATGCAGAAATATGGAGCTAAAAACAAATTAAATAAATATCAAAAATAATCATTATCCTCCCCAGAAAGTCAACAAAGTTGACGAGAAAAACAGCTCTCCTTTTTCTACAAAAAAGCCATGATCAAGCTGAGTTTAGGCTATTTGATCAACGTGACCCTAAGTGGATATTATGACATCTGTTAACATTTTCCTAAACACGAAGCTTGGGGACGAGGACTAGAGCTCCCAAGAGCAAACAAGGAATTTCCGGTTCTGACTGTCATGAACTCTTGTACACTATCTTGATCCATTTGATAGCAAATTAGTCATAGTGAATGATAGTTCAAACTATCATTGGCTTTCATGAACTATATATCATGATGTTTGTTCCCTGCATTAGGGACCTTACTACCTATGTGGAGTGGACAGTTTCAGGCAGCAGTCATTCTGATCTTCAGGATTGCCAGCTATTGTTAGTGGAATACTTTCCAAGTGGTGTTTATGTGGATCCAGATCAGATCAAGAATGAAGAGGAGTTTGGTGGTCCTGAGGTCAGAACTAGCTCAAAACATTTCTAACAACTAATGAAAATTACTATTAAAAATCATTTATCAGTTATTAATAATCTAACTTGTTTTAATTTGGAAGCCTATATTTTGATTTTCTACTGGTGTTGGGGTCATGGTGAGGTTGCTTGTTATATATAATAATCATAATAAATTATTTTTCAGGTTTTAATCACAGAGGCTATAAATACTGAGGTGATGGCACATCATTCCTCTCCACACAAGGTCTTTTTATTTCCTAAAGCAGTGGTGAACTCAAGGTGGGTCATGAGTTGACTCATTGGCTACTGATTGCCGTATGTCCTTAAGCCATAATCTCCAGTTTCTTTATGAGTGTTTAAATTAGAGGGTGGGTGAGTTGGGGTGGCAGGGAAATCTTGCACTCTCAGATTGTTTTATCCTTATCTTGGTAAAACCCAATATCTCTACCTTAGTTATAAATAAAAAAGGGTCAATTACCCCATAGCAAATGAAAAAAATATCGTGATGCAAAATTACCCAGGTTAAAAAATTGTACCTAGTGAAAAATTAGATCTACCTAAGAAAAAAAATTACCTGCAACAGAGATATTTTTTTTCCTTAGTTAATCTTAGCAAGTCGAATGTATCTTATTTTTTAGAAATTAATTTCTACAACCGTTATATATTCTCTTTAATAACTCAAATGTTTTTTTATTTTTAGAATTACAATTATTGTAAAGCGCCATTGAGCTCACAGAAATGGTGCTATATAAATTCTTGTATTATTATTGTTATTAAAAAATCTAGGGTAGAATAGTCTTATTCTAAATGTAAAGAAGCTCCTCACAGTGAAAGACACAAGCAGGACCCCACAGAGGGAGGGGCTGGGGGCCAGGTCCCCCCCCCCACCCCATTTTTGAAAAATAATAAAACAATGAAGTAATAGAGAAAAACAGTATTTTTGCTGGAATAAGAATATCCAGAAATATACAGAGGACATCAATAGTTATCATTGTTTTCATTTTTTGTGCATAGACTGGGATCCATTTATGTGAATATTAGCATACCAATTCATCTGAGGTACCACAAAGCTGCTAAAAAAGAAAAATTTGTCCCTGTTTCACTGTCCCCTCCAACAATTCTTGGAAAATGTAATCATGGTAAGTGTATTATTATAATCTAAAAAGTTGCTTTCTATTGCTTTCTATGTAGTGAAGAACCTATGACTGTGCAATGTGTGCCTGAAGAATGCATTCTGAGAACAGCCTGGAGAATTTTTATATTTTGGATATTGGGCTTAAAGGGTAAACACAAGTCTAAAACCCAATAATTTGGGTTGGAACTTAACCTTTCAACTTTGAAGAGACCTCACTACTTTCATTATAATTCCAGTGATTTTATTTCTGCATTCTGTACTACAGGAATGGACAATTTTGCAACATGGTGTGCAGGTGAAATGATCAAGGCTCCTTGTAGTGCAAGAAAATCATCCAGATACTGCAACTGGATCACACTTACTCAAGTTAATGAGGTATTTTTTTTATTATGATGAGCATTATTTCAATAACTATTATCATATTTAAAGCGAGATGCACAGGTGTGTGCGCATGAGGATGTGGATTATTATTTTCATAAGCCCATTCTTCCCCATTCAGTAATCTGCTTATACATGTACATGTTAGCCCTGGTTCCTGTAATTTAAACAGACTATGGAGGTGACTCAAAACACTTTCCCTGATTTCCAATTCGAACATTGCTTTCACGCTGGTAGTAAACACTTTTTCTCTTGGCATTATAGTAAATGAATGCAGCAATGCTTAACATACCCTTTAAGCCCCAATATCCAAATACAAATTCTCTGCACTAGTATCCATAAATTGCCTTATAGAATCAGTTGAGAGAACTTGATAAAAGATCAAAGCATTTCTCCTTTGTTCATCATTTTCTTAATTCTCCCAACCTTTTCTCTTGATGATGTATTGATATTGTTTGGAGAAAATTGATGTTGGTCACCCTGGGACTGAAAGGGTTAAGGTGACCATCCCCTTCCACTTTGAACGCAAGATACATGAAATAGATTAAAAGTGGGAAGTCAAACGTGCCCACTAGTGAGATATGGATGGAAAGTTCCAAAAAAAGGTTTTTTTCAAGATCTGCGTTTCCACCACAACACCGTGACACCATTGCCGTTTTGACATTTCAAACTCTTGCACTTTATAAATTCTTGAAGAAATTTAGAGGGGAGGTCAAACTACCATGTATTATTAAGTCTAACAATAGACCTTGGAGATTAAGGAAGAAACTGTTAGGGCAGAAGGCTCAGAAAATTTCCCTTTAACTTTTCCGCAACACTTTATCATACCTACACCATTCTTATCCATGACCGACGACATTTATCCTCAACTCTCCAAATTTGATCTATCCCTTTGAAAAAAAGTTCAACTGTTATGTCAAAATCTTATAAAATTCTGTACTGATGTTGTGTCACGACCAATCAGAAGCACTGACGCGTTATCAATGTGGACTTTCTTTGCTCGTTTCTCAGACGTCATTTCGCGGGGAAACCAGGGGTGGCGTCTCGAAATGTTGTCTGTTTTTCCCAGGCTAGTGTTTTTCTGACGATACTGATTTCTTAGAACATTATGTTGGTATTGTTATTAAGAATTTTTGTCGTATGTTATGTAGGAGAATCTCCTTGTTTTTCAAGTGCCTGTTGGACAAACTGAACACACCTTGCTCATCACCATTCTGACTGTTTTCTCAGCCATAGCTGGAAGCAGTCTCCTAGTTTGGAACTCTTCGCTGAGCTCATGTTGAACCTGTTTCTTGCAGGGAGGTTATGTGTTGACTTTCTAGTAAGTCTAGTAACTCCCTCGTACAGAGAAAATGTACAGGACTACAAGATTTTTTTTTTATTAAAATGATGGTGTCCATTTTGAGATATTTTGAATGTGCATAAAGAGATAGAATGAACTTTAAAGTCGATGACTGGATTTTGTAATAAATAACACTTTTTCCAATAGTACAGATTGATAAATCACATTACGTAATTAAGTAACAATGTGTATTTCAACTATGCGCTTATGAAAACTGTTTTTGTAAAAAGAAAGAAACGGTACTTTTGGGTGTTGATTTTTTCCCCTTCGGAGAAACACGCGTCCAGGTTTCCTTTCACCCTTGCGTTATTAGAAAACGGCCCCAACAATCAATCCCGGACAAAATCGAAGCTCTTCATCATATCATACGCGCGTCTAAGTTCTACCTGAAAGCCTGAGCCATTCAGGTAAAAATTTCGGAGTTTCTTATTTGTGCCAAATATCTGGCTATAAAACAGCTACATATTAGAAAACTCGCTGTATATTGTTTGACAATATTGGCTGCGATCGCACTAAAAAAATTAACCGGGTTATCTCCCGTTCCCGTGGTTTCTTAATCCAATATTTTCCGCATTGCCAACATTCGCACTGATGATACCTAATGGTAAAAATGCAAATCACACTCCTAGCTTTTCAACCATTTCTCGCAGGACGCTTCCTTTTGTGTTCAATAACCTATCGAACCTGTCAAATTCCTTAACTTGTCCGTCCTTTAACACCAGGATCCTGTCACAGTGTCTTATCGTGTTTAAACGATGAGCTATAGTGATGATTGTGGAGTCCTTCAGCTTCTCATGAACCACCTTCCAGATGGTTTGTTCTGTGTCTGGATCAACATGTGCAGTCGGCTCATCCAAGATAATGATCTTGTTTTGCTGTAGCAACAATCGAGCCAAACAGATCAGTTGGCGTTCTCCTACACTGACATTTCCTCCGTACTCCAATAACTCATGATTTAGCTGCCCCTCTAGGCTTTCCACTAAATCTTTCAGCTGTACATCTTCCAGAGCGCACCACAATTCTGCGTCTTGAAACTGCTCCATAAGATCGAGGTTTTTTCTGAGTGATCCACTAAAAAGAACAGGACTTTGGCCTAGAATTGATATTGAGCGTCGTGATTCGCAGAGGTTTATCTCCTTTATTCGAACTTCATCGACCGTTATCCCTCCATCGGCTTCGGGCATGCGCATTAGAGAAGCGACAAATGAAGATTTTCCTGCGCCCGTTCGACCAGCGATACCAATCTTTTCTCCTCCTTTGATTGTGAGGTTGATTTTCTTCAGTACTTGAGGACCCCCCGGATAATACGTCAGTGATACGTCATGGAATGTGATATTTCCTTCACTTGGCCAATTTTCCGGGGGACGTCGTTTCACTTTGTATCCAGGCTCAGACTCAAGTTTGGTATACGTGATAACTCGTTCAACTGATGTCATTAAATTCTCGACTTCTGAAGCTTTCCTGACGGCGTATTGTGTGACAACTGAAGTTTGAATAACGTAAACAAGGGCTAGACCAGCAAATGCTAATTGGAAAAGAAAAAGAATATTTAACGTGTTTATCAGTTTTTGTTACAGCTGACCTTATTAATTTTGCATCCTACCGCTTTTGGTATTAAAAACCGTACTAAATACTGCTACTATTAATAGTTGTTTTTGTTCTTGTTAGGCCAAGCAAAAAAAAAAAAAAGCGGCAACTGTTTCTCGTCCGGCTTTCTTCAAAAAAGAGAGCAGGGATCTTTTTTTGTTATTTCTGACTTTTATTTACTTTTAAATTTAATGCTTTCTTTACAAATTATTATTGCCTTCTCCCAAGGATAAGATGGAGTTCTTCGGACAAATATTAATGTCGGGATTGAATGAAACGTCAGATATTGCTAAAACACAAATTTGGTTTCTAGGGTACAAGTTTTAAACAGCAACTTGATGTGTCGTACCTTATATCTCGTTATGTAGGTTGCATTAAAAACGTGAATAGGACGCAGTGTGTAATGAATGCTTGGCTTTATCATTTAGCCTGCCTGAAAGTTTCTTGGTTTTTTTTCTTTGGCTTGTATCTCCTCTTTTGGCATACCGCCGCTATTGGTTTTTGTGTGTTCCAACTTTTCCAATAACAAATAATAAAAAAGAGAGGCGGACCCAAAAAATGAAGTGGGCGGGAAGAGAAACATTTGTTTTGTTTTTGTTTACTTGGCCTTGTGATTGTTGAAAATGGTTCAATTTGGTTAAAAATAATTTCGATTTTGTTTCCGTTTTGCAAAATTCAGCTTTATAATGAGCCAAAAGAGAAAAACCTTTCATTTCTCTTAAGTTTGGGTTTTTCGGTATTCAAGGGAGTAGCGGAGCAAGGCTCAAATTGATTTTATGTGGACCGGACAAGGCCCAATTAAACCAATTTCAACGCTATTCCAATGGTGGTTCGAAAAATCGAGATTCCTCTGTATATAAGAACGCGAAAAAGTGTATTTAGCTCAAAGTTCTCTTTCAAAATGTTGAAACAATGTTATGACTGGATATTGGTTCACGTACCAGCATCTTGAGAAACCAAAGCGGCAGCTACTGCCACTGTGCCAATTAATATAGCCGAGAGAAGATCCATATGAACACCAAGCCACCGAGCACTCGCCTTCACCATAATATATACCTGACTGTATACATCTTGATACCTGAGGAAGTAAAACAAAAGAAATTTTATTAAAGCAATTCTTGTTTTTTTCATGAGAATGTAAGATGATTTCTAATTTGCCCGGTTCTAGCCGACGGTGGGGAAATTATTTCGCAAAATGACTCCCTCATCAGAGGTTGGTTAGCCTGTGGTTTTTATTTATACTTAAAGCCTTTTTTCAGTTAGAAATTTCCAAGGTTAGGTGTTGACAAAATACCGGATTCACGCCAACCATTTTACAACAGACAATAACAATCAACTTTATTTAAAAATGAGGGTAAACACATAACAGCAGAAGCTGATAAACCAGTGACCCTTCAACTAAACTAACTAATCTAAAAATTACAGATATATATATTTACAATAGTGCTTAAAAATTGTTAATATCAATATAAGAATCAGTAAAATAAGTTATCACGTAACAGCAGAAGCTGATAAGCCATTGGCCTTCAACTAAATTAACTAACCTAACAATGCAAAGATATATTTACAATAAGGCTTCGAAAGTATTAATATCAATATAAGAATCTCTAAAATAAGCTATCAAAGCATTCTTAAAAGATGAAAGACTGTTTTTCCTTTTAATATCATCAGGCAGACTGTTCCACAACCGTATGCTACTGACGCTAAAAGACCTTCCCGCTTTGGAGATGTGTCGAAACGTTGGGCATACGAATTATATTGGCCATGTCTCGTCTCTCTACCGTGCACTGATTTGTTTGTAACAGTTAAGATATCAAGTTTTGAATATATGAAAATCATATATTTGAAATGCGGAGTGAAGAATGAAATGAAGGATGATCATAGTAGTTATATACGCAACTTTTGCAGTTGGGAAAAGAAGGCCTGAAAAAAAAAATTCAGGCTTGTACGGGAGAGATCATTGATAGACATGCGCGATTCGCCTTGCAATGCCTTGTAAAGTAGAACAGACTTATTTATCTTAACGTCATCATAAAACGGTTAAAAGCTTCTTAACTTGTTTCTGATCTTCTTTCATTCAATTCATTTTGTTTCTGTTTTTAAGATCATGTATTTTCCACTCGCTAGTTAGTGAATGATTCTCAATTTTCCTAATTAGCGAACCAGTCAGATTGCTTAAAACAGCCAATATCATTGAGTGTGTGTATGCCATAGTAACTTGAAGAATCATCTGCTGAGAGTTTCTTGTCGGTCAAAAAAGGATTTTGGTTCAATTTAACGTGTCTCATTAATGAAAAAATAAAAAAAGATTTCAACACACCCATGAAACCGATCCACAAAGTCATCTTCTCTTTTCCTTGTCCGAATCGTGTCCAGTCCATTCAGGGTCTCTGAAATGTGAGAGAAAACCGGACTGCGACAAATGGATTCCAGTCTTTTCAGTTCCCTAGATGTCTTCAAGTAGTAGCTGGTAATGTAGACAGCTAGGAAAGTGGCGGGTACGAAAACCAGTAGAAGCCAAGGATTCGTTGCAGCTGGCACAAGAATTGCTGTCGACACCATCAAAGCATACTGAATGGAGAGCAGAAACGTTTTAGGCAGTAATTCGTCCAAACAACCTATATCTCTAGAGAAACGATTCATGATTCTCCCCACGGGATTGGAGTCAAAGAAGAGCACCGGGGCTTGTAGAACAGCCACAACCATTTTGTCGTGAAGACGTTCTGAGCATCTCAGTGAAGCCAGGTGGAATACCTGCGCTCGGATGATGGCAAATATGAAGGCTGCGGTGACCAGGCAACCGTAAATGGTTATATTTGTCTTGTTACGCTGATCGTCTGGACTTTTCTGTGTCAAAATAGACAGCCATACATCAGGAGAAACTAGCAATGCTGTGAAAAGAGTGAGACAAAAACAGTTTAAAACAACTGCGACGGCGACGGCGACGACGACGGCGACGACAACGTCAAGTTAGAAAAGCAAAAGGGTTTGAGAAGTAAAACAATTATCTCGGCGCTACGTAAGAGTTTGTGTGATTTCAGTGGATGGACTTTTCACTTTATAACTGACTTTCATATTCATCAGTTAACCTGACGCCTGATTTTCCGTTTTCCCATCATCCTTTCCCTTCCATGATTTCGAATGATTCCTCGTAGGGAAAATTCTTTTTAATTTCCTTCTTCTTCCTTATTATTATTATTGTTATTATTATTACTACTATTACTATCAGTATTTTATTATTATCATTATCATTATTGTTATTATTAGTTACTGTTATTGTTATTGATATTTTTTAAGAGAATCGGGGCGGATGAAACGCAGTTTACAAGGTGCGTTTGAAAGACTCGGTTATGCAAACTGGATATTCTTAGGGGGCGTCAGCGGATAATGTAAGGGGTGATAATGTACGCATGCGTACAGTGCTCTCACGAAAGCGTATATTGCAACTTAGTAGCGCAGGGTTTCTCTTCCCGTCGTCTCTCCAGGAGAGCGTAGTTTCCAGTAGGGTTGTATTTAACTCATCATTATATTGATGAAAATATATGACGCCTCGGGGCTTTTCGATGACACAATCCGTTCTCTAAACCTGTAAAACTGTCACTTACCTTGAGAGATGAGAAAAAGTAAGAATAATGAAATTATCGCCAGTGAATTCAACCCGCTTCTGAAGTAATTCCAGTAAAGCTTGGATGACACTACTCCGGTCATGCGATCTTCTTCCGATATCTGTAGACCTTTTGCCTCGTTTTTGACCAGAGGTGGGAAAGGTTTGTCCGATGCACCATCGTCCTCATTATTTGATTCATCAAGGTGGTGATCTGACTTGCCACTGCTTACTTTCATGGTATAGAGTGGATCGATAGTTTCATTCAGAATTCCTCTTTTTTTCAGCTCATTAAAGCTTCCTTCACGCAACACGCGGCCTTTATACAACACAATGATATTATCAGCTTCTTCCATAAGCTGCTCTTGGTGGGAAGCAATCACACGGGTTTTTTGACCCAGCAGGTCTTTGAAGCATTTTTCAAAAATATTTTGACCAACCTTGACATCTACAGCGCTTAAGGGGTCATCGAACAAGTAAAGGTCCACATCTGCATAGACTGCGCGTGCCAAGCTTACTCTGGCGCGCTGACCCCCACTCAGCAGTTCACCGCGTTCTCCAACCATCGTTTCATCACAATCAGGAAACTGATGAATGTCTTCTCTTAGCGCACAAGCTTCAATGACTCTTTTGTACTTGGATTCATTGAATGGTTCGCCAAACAAAACGTTTTCTCTAATTGTTCCCGAGAATACCCAAGCTATCTGAGGTGCGTAAACAAGAGCCCCTCTGCAGATTACGTTCCCCTGTTTGTCTGGTACCTCGCCAGCGATTGCTGAGAGAAGGGTAGACTTTCCGCTACCTACTGGCCCGGTAATGACTGTTAAGCTCCCTGAAGCTGCCTTAAATTCGATATCTTGTAGAATAAATTGGTCTTTTCGCTTTGACTGTTCATAACTTAATCTTGACAAAGTCAAAGTATCCATCGTGTCACGGGTTTTATGTTCATCAATGCCATCTTCTTCGTTTTCTCTCATTTCTTCCTTATGCTGCCATAAAGAACTCTTCAACATCGCTGCGGACCCCTCCATGTTTCTTATGGGATCCGCGAACTGAAGAGCTGGAGCGGTGCCCGTAGGTGGGTCTTGTAACAGAAGAAAATATTCTATTCTGTTAAGTGAAACATACGCGTCATATGTGTCTTGCAAACCACTGGCCAGTAAAATTGAACAGGTGACTCTTGATACATAGATGAAAGAGATAAGCATGAAAACATTGACTGGTGTCAGATGTTTCCCAGTTAATACCATTGCAATAACAGACACAAGTGCAGCCATTGGCACTGAAGCCATGTCCAAGGCAGCAAGGCTTGTCAAAATGATGCCCTTCTTTCGGATAATACTTATTTCACGGCTGAAAATAAAATATTGATTTTTAAAAGATGCGCTCCATTCTTAGCCTGAGAAAACTACTGACACTCCGCGATGCCACTAGTTGTTTTCACGCGAAATGTCTTGGAAATGAGCGCATAAATTCTCCACTGATGACTTTTTGCTATCCTGGAGCCAGTTTAATAAAACTTTTACAAGTGTAATGCATCAGTCAATTCTACCTGCGCCCAGGCCCCCCCCCCCCGGGCTGACCCCGGGAATTAGCATTTTTTTTGCCTCGGATGGCAAATTCCCGGGGGTGGGGACCCTTGAGCTGGCAATTCCCCCGGGGTGGGGAAGAAAAAAGAGGGCAAATGCCCCGTCCTCCCTCAACAGTGCAACATGTTTTATTGATCGCATAGTCCAATAGTGCCATATATTTTAAAGTGCGATTTTTTTGTTTCAATTAACGTCTTCCTTTGTAATAGCGCTAGGATTCTAATTAAGATTTCAGGCCGCGACGACATGCACCAGTTTATGGTTTTAGTATTGATATAAAGTTATTGACATTAAAATTAATAGAGCGCTGTAAAGTTATCTGTTATGAATAGATTTATAAATATGAAAGGGTGTTCTTCAAATAATATCAACAGAAATTAGATTCAATAACCAAAAAACGTTGATTCACATCGATAGCTCCAATTTCGCTCTGTAATTCTGGCTTGATAAGCAATGAAGAAATGCATACATACATGTAAAATCGAGAACATGCCTTTACAACCCTCTACAATTTATTCCTGTCCTTGACGGATGAGCCAATCTGCTTTTTTTCCAGTAAAACCTTCTGTGTGGTTACATTCTGATAGGAAACCGCGTGCGCGTCAAAAGCTCGGGAATGGCCCGGGAGTTGGCAAATGCCCGGCCCCCGGGCAGTGCAAAATTTGCAAATGCCCCAGCCCCGGGACTGACAAGGCGGGCAAATGCCCCGCAGTAGCCCGGGGGGGGGGGGCTAGGCGCAGGTGGAATTGACTGATGCATAATTTACAAGTGTGGCTATTGTTTTAGAGAATGAGAACAATAGCCACACTTGTAAATTACACTTGTACTAGTTTTATGAAATTGACCCCAGATCTGGATAGTTTTTCTGATTGGTCGCTCCGTGTGGGAAATTTTGCTTCAACCAATCAGACACAACCCAGATCTGACTAGTTACACGTCATCAGTATGGAATTTCTGCGCTCCGCCGCGTTCCTCAGACGTCATTTCGCGGGAAAACCAGTGGTGGCATCGCGCACGAAATGTTTGCTGTCAGTTCTCAGGCTACTTCATTCTTTATGTTATATACATAGATTTTGCGTAACATAGAAAGGTCTGAGGAGGAACTCATTGTTTCTTAAGGGCGTTGTCTTTCAGTACAAAAGCCACGTACTTTTGTGTAGCAGATGACCGTGCATATTTGTACATGATTTATGAAAAGACAAGGTAAATTTCCTCAAGAACATTACGTGGTCTGAATTAGGAAAACAAAACTTGCAAGCTAAAAGGTTTATTGTGTTTTTCCTACCTTCGTGTACTTTTAATGCTATCTCGGTATTCCTTCTCCTATGCATTTGTTTTAATGGCGCGAATCCCAGAAACTACCTGGTTCATCCACGAGAGCCGCTTGTCAGAAATCCCGGCTGTGCGCAGGCGTAACTCAGAGCCAGCAGCGGACAGCAGAGCGTAATATGGAGAAAGACAAGCCAGGAAAATAACGCCCATTAATGACTGCCAGCCGATGAAGTACACCAGCCAGAATGTGACTACGGCGACCTCGAAAAATGTAAAAACTATTGAGAATAGTAACTTAAAAGCCTCCTCTTCTAATCGTTGCACATCGTTTGATATCAGATCGATTACGTGCCCAGTTGAAAACTTTAGCAAGGCACTCTTCGTGAGAACGAGTGTCTGAAAAAGAAATAAACTACCAGACGTTAGCTGATTGTTATAAAAGATCGAAAAGATTAGCAATTAAACACAGACGCGTGACAGGAGCCCTGCGCGTGAAACATTTGTCTTAAAATTCCACTGAAAAAGAATAGAAGTCTGCTGAACAGGGAGGCCGCATGTTCACAACTCAGCCGGGTCAACGCTTGGGGTTTTAAAATGCCTGAGGAGAAAGTGCTGCCTTTGTTATCTGCAAACGGTTCGAGTTACCAGTCTTCTCGGTTAAGCCATAAACGATAGGTTCCTCACCACCTTTGCTCATAAAAAGATTTTGTGGAATGTAAAAGCCTGGGGCGGCGCTCAAGGGAGTTTTGGGTACCAGTGTCGCCGAGGACTTCAAACAATGACCCTTTTTAGCACAAAAATCGTTTTCGCTTCCCTGTTTAAGACAAGAGAGCTCATAAAATGACACTGGCTCATTTCGCGTACAGAATTAGGTTTAAAAACTGCGATCATAGAATTAGATTTTTGTTGTCGGTGCCACAAATATAGACCGCTCATCGCCAACCCAATTCCCCTCTTTTAAAAGCTTCGGGGCCAGAAACGACACCCTCTTTAAAACACTAACTCTCTTTAGCGGCACGTACCTGCCAAGGCCAAATAAGATAGGGCTCTCCCCAGGCGCTAAAAACCTTCACACTCTTCTTTAATAGCAGGGGACAGAGGGATGTGAATAAACAAGGAACAGGGAGGGGGGGAACGAGCACGCGAAACGGCAAAAATGAAGGATGAGAAAAAAACCTAACTGGAACTTCAGCCCTATCACTAAGTCCATTTCCAGCTCTCTACTTTGTTTCCATTTTTTCATTTTCCTGTTCCCCGTGCTAGTTCCAGTCTCCCAGTTCTCCGTTTTAGTAACATATATCCGGGGACGGAATCCCTGGTGGGTGCTGTTGTCGATGTCAAATTCAGATTCATATTTGGGGGGGGTATTCATAACTTACTACTTCATTGATCGTTAGTAGACTGGCAAAAAGTCCCTCAAACAAATGTGATTAATAACTCTAAAGAGTCCTTAGGGAAGTGGATAATAAGAAATTTTCAGTTTAGACATCTATAGTTATATACGTACATAAACGATTTTAAGTTCTGTTTATACGTATCATTAGGAGGTGACTGAATAAAGTTTGGTTTCTTGCGGCTAAGGTCGCTGCTGAAGTATTCAAATTAAAGGAAAGGTTTATTCTTGTGGAGGTCGTTGTAGGGAAAAAATCCAACCTCGTTCCCAGGGCTTGTTTCCTTAGAAGACGGGAAGGGCGGGAATGACTGTCATATCCTTACCTTGAGGTAAATTAATCCTTTGAGGGCGCTGCTAAATCGAAGTCCCCACACTTCACCTCTGTAGTCAAAGTGGTGCATGGCAAGCGAACCAATCAAAGCATTGATACCCATGCCTAAAGCACAACCATACAAAAGATACACCGAGTGTAATTCTGGTGACATCAGAGATACCATAAAAAATCCTAGAAGCAATGGCTGCAGGAGGCGTGACAGAGAATACAAAGCGTAGTTCACGGTTAGAATCAGCACTTCTTTGAGAGGAAGCAGTTTTAGAACGCTTTTCCAAAGTTTTGGTCGTTTTGTCTTTCCCTTGCACTTGGCTTTTTCCTTGTTCCATTCTTTCTGAAGGTGTTCAATTAGAAAAGAGGACGTGTTTTCTTCCGAAAGAGGCAAAAAGTCACTTTGCTCTATTGGTCGTTCATTGCCTGTCTTGAGCACATTGTTCATCCAATGAAAGAACATGAATGATAGACAGCTGACTTTCTCTGTGTGGTCTTCATCAGGAACCTTCTTGTATCCGTCTCTTGTCATGTTTCAACACTGACTGACCTTAAAAAACACAACAACCAAAACATCTACAAAATAATAATAATAATAATAATAAGCCCGACAACCCGGAGGTTAGAGCTTCCGTTGGTTACTGACCAAGCAAAACGGTTTACTGTGTCTACTAACGTCCGCATAACTGTTTTTATTATATAATGTACTGACTATCTGTCATCTCATTGGCTAACAGCCAACAGCTAATTTTGGAAATCAGCCTAACCTACAGATTAGTTAGTTATCTGTTAGCAGATGACTAATCTGTAGGTTGCGCGCCCAATGCATGATTTCTAACAGAAATGTCATTACATTTTCACTACGAGCTCTCGTCCTGATTATTGCGTTCCATCGTTAGTGGACGGAATGCGTAAACGCAACAGTTTGTACTATGTGTTTATACGTTTTAGCGGACTTGTGCAGGCATAGCCTCAAATGATCTAAATTAGAAAAGTTATAAGAAGTGCAGCCCTGTTTCTCTTGCCCTTGATTAAGTTATACTGCGCCACACGACGACTTATCAACATCACGAGCGTCCCCAAACTCACTACATCTAATAACGTTCGGCGTAACGCAACTGGTCATGGTCTTATGGGAAACGTTAAAATTTAATACAAAATCAGTCTTACTGGCTTATCCTAGCTTATTATGAAGAAAAGGAATAAAGGAAACTAATTTGTGTCATATTTTCTCTTTTCCTTTTTGAAGCGGTCGGTTTTTAGGCTCGATTACCAGCCGCTGTTCGGGAAACGAGCCCGCGCTCCTCCTCCGAAAAGTCTCTTCTCGGGTCTGACCTGAGAGAGCGGCGAAATCTCGGCTCTCTGTGTTACGATCCTGTCTTGATGAAAGAAAATCCTCTTCTGCTCGCAAAATCAGCCAAGGTCGCTTGAAAAAGACATCAAAAACACAAAATATTGCATAAGTTAGTTTACTTTATTCCTTTTCTCTGCAATAAGTTTAAGATAAGGCGATTTGTTTCTTTACGTTTTTCCGTTTCCCGTGTGGGCCATATAAATCGTTAAGTTTTTTGACAATCGCTTCTGACCAACTTCCTTTCGTCAAAATGCTCTACTGTCAACTATCATAAACTTCTGGCTTGTTCCAAGAAAAGACCGAAGGGACGACTAGCTTAGTCAGTTAGAGTACTTAACTGAAAAGTGGGAGGTCGCGGGTTCGATTCCCGGGGCCGGACCAATAATAATCAGGGTCTTGAAATAACTGAGAAATTAAGGGCGCTTTCCATTTATCAGAACTGGCTGGCCGGACCATAGCCCGTCAAGTCAGTTTGAAAATGAAATAGACTTTTTCCAACTTTTTTTGCTGAAAAATCATCTCTTTGGTGCATACTATTTAGGATTTGACCGATCTGGCTGGAGAGTTTTGATTAAAAGGGAAATTCCCATTGCGACGGGAATGGTCTTGCCGGTCAGTTCTGACAAATGGAAAGCGCCCTAAGTGAGTGCTTTTGCCCTGCAAATGGCTAGACCTTCGCGCGGCTCGGATGACCATGGAGGATCTCGTCCCCAAAAGAAATGAGAAATGGTTGTTTACCATTTACAAAAAAATTTCCAGAAAATCTGGTTGCAAAATAAAGGGAACAAGACCGTTTGGGTAATTCGAGTAGAAATTTTCCGGGAGCAACGGAACTTCTGAAAAGGCAGTCCTGTTTTTCAGGACAGAATGTTCCAAACGGAAATTCGTGTTCCATTTACTTCAAAGCCATCTTTGATACCAGTTTCACGCCTTCGTAGCCGTTTTTCGGTAAATGAAACTGATTTGTACAAATGGTAAACTCGAGTTCGCGACGAAATTCACCTTTCCTGAATTTTGCTCACCATTTGCCCAAACCGTGAACCAACCTGTTTGCCCAGTATGTAAAAGCTAAACAACCAGAGTCTTGAAGTAGTACTTTCGTGCTGAATACATTAAGGCACGGTTCAGACGCCGTACTTTTCATGAGCCGAACCTAATTCAAATTTAAAGACCGACCCAAATTATTTGGACCGGCTAAATTGATTTAGACGCCGATCTTAATTTCAGGCGAACTAAATTCAGAGGGAGAAAAATGCCCATTGCGGTCAAACTGCTTAGAAAATGAGTTATAATAATTTATGCATTAAGTTAGGTACATGAAAAGTTCGGCGTCTGAATCAAAGCCGTTCCAAAGTCGCTCCAAAGGCGAAATTTCCGGCCAGGCTAGGCGAAAAGAACGGCTGAGCGGATCCAAATTGAAACAGGCGTTCCTAACTGATTCAGACGCCGAACTTTTCACTGTACTTAATTTAATGTATTAGGTTCGGCTCGTGAAAAGTTCGGCGTCTGAACCGGGCCTAAGACTCAAATAAAGTGAAGGTTTTTTCGTGTTTCCAAAGGTGATTTACTGCCTTGTTGTTGTTGTTGATGTGAATCTCAACGTCGTTTCGGTGACTACCTATGTCCAGACTCTACACGCCACGCGTTTACCTTCTCTATACATTAAATATTTCCATTTGCGAAACTGTAGGCCACTGGTGTAAGACATTTCCTTTGTTTACTTTTGCACCTTGCCAGTGTGCGTATGTCAATTATGTATTTCTTTATATATCGATGCAGTATGAATACTTTACTCCATTTTGATAAAAATTTTGCCTTCCTTTCGCAATTCGTATTTATGTCGACAGAATACTATCAAAATGTTGCATTCGAAAAACCTTGACTTGGTTCAGTTTGTCCAGTAACTGCTCTGTGACTTAAAATTGACGGGGTTAAATTTAGTTTGGAGATACTTTATTTACAGAGAAGACCTTTTTTCGTAAAACCCCAGAAAACGAGCCGAACAGCCTATAACCTGTTCTTTCTGCAAAGATTCCAATAGATAGAAGAAATGAAGATTTTAAGAAATTCTGAAAGTGGCATCTTAAACCATCGGTCAAAGCTAGGTAAGGCAAATAAGCGAATAATAATTTTAGCGCTCTTTTGGGGTAACTTACCTGTTTTAATGGGTAGCCAGCAGGCTGTGTGTTAACTTGACGTGTTAGAACAGATTCCACAAAAATATAATTGTATTCTCATGTCCGTAAACCACTCACTGGAAGTCAGAACTTCAACAGGCGATCGACTTCAGTAATAGATTTATTTTATATCTTAATTCATTACTCTTTTGTGTGAATTCGGCATGATACTAAGCCTCAATTAAAATTCCCGCCAGAATTATTTGCATTAATCAATTTAAATTCAAATTTCGAAGTAGACATTCACCAACAAAAATCATTAAAAAGCACGCATGCTAACCTAGAGCCTAGGTGCTAAATATGAATTCTCGATCACTGGAAACCTTGACGAGTACGAGTACGAGATTTTCTCTATACTACGTAGTGCTCGCACGTGAACCAGCGACATTTTGGCGGGAAAATGTGGTAGCCGTAGTCATTGATCGGGAAAGCGCGTAACCTCCTTCACTAAAGATAACAGTGCTAACTTTTTATGGTAAAATGAAGCTTTCCGGGAAGTCTATATTTCGAGAATACGCGAAAAAACTTGAAGTCAAATCTCGTCATCGTAGTCGTCCTTGTCCTCAAATCTGAAGGTCTCTTTAACGCGGGGAAACGAATACGACCCAAAGGGGCCATTTGCATGATGGCGTCATTTTACGACTATGACCAGGATCCGGTTCAGGGTTTTGTTTTCTTTGGTACCGAGGCACTGATAACGTATAACAAAAGAAACAATACAACCAAACAATAAAGCCTTTCAGGAGAACTCTATTGTTTGGTTGCATTGTTTCTTTTGTGATGACGGTACCTGCAGAAAGACCTAACATTTGGCGCTCTAATGTGTAATATTTTAAAACATTTTGCGCTTCGTTGCATCAATTCATGCAAAAATCAGTGTAATCAAGCAGTACCGTTTCACCCAGGACTATCTGGAAAAATTATCGCTTGTACCGTTCGACAGAGAGACAATCAGGTACATTTGCTGGATTCAGAGTAGTTCATTTCGTACGATTTAACCTGAACAGTTTTTTGAGATGCAAATTTTTGCGAGAACGACAGTCTGCTTGGACATCGAGGGCGAACCGAGAAGGAGATCACGCGCGAGCGAGCCTTGAAGGTCTTGAAAGACTCTCCGGTTGTTGCACCTCTCCGACTAGGTGAGAGTCTTGGCTTTTCCCGATTCTTGCTCGAAGACCGTTAATTTTGGTTCGAAAAGTTAACAACAACGACAATAAACAGCGATAAGATTTTCAATGGAGTTCACAGCTATCCGTTTTAAAAGCGGCCAAAAAGTTTAGTCGTCGTTAAAAAGAGTTGAACATTTTATGCGTTCGTCGTGAAGAAAGTTTAGTGAGAAAATGTGCAAACGACTTCTTCATTTAGATAGTGTCGAACAATGCTATTTTTAGGTGGTTTTGAACTATATTCTCGTTGGGTGCCCCTGTTATTCCGTGGCTAATTGGACCCCATTTTATCCCTATTTTACCTGAGGAACGGGCGCAGAAATTCCACTGATAGTGATGACGCGTCGCTACCTAGATCTTGGTTGAAGCAATTTTGAACTGAATTGTAAATTGTAAATATCTTATTATCCACTCCCCTCAGGGCTTTTCAGGGATAATTTACAACACTGGTTGGGGGACTTTGCCAGACTGCTTAAGGTGCAGTTTACAAGTAGTGAAGGAATGAGTAATGATGCCCCCATACATGAGTGTGAAAGTGAGATAGGCCACTACACCGGGCACTACGTGCCCTACTCTTTACGAAGAGTGTGTGGGTTCTTTAACGTCCCACAGATTTAATACATGTGCAAGGGCTTGTGAGACGGGGCCTACGGTTTATCGTCCTTATCCGAGAAGACTAGAAAGTCTAGCCGTTTGCAGATATTTTTACAAAGGCAGCACTTTCTCCTCAGTTATTTAAAGACCCTGAGTGTTGGTCCGGCCGGGGTTTGAACCCGCGACCTCCCGCTCAGTAGACCGGCGCTCTCCCAACTGAGCTAACCAGGCGGCGGTCAAA